TGGTCAAGTATCACGTGGGGCTACCGACGCTGGCCTCTTTCCACTTCCTTAGGTAAACTCAGTTGGGCGGCTCTTGTCCATCCCATCCATTCGCGAGCCCTGGCTTTGAGTTATCCCTGTATCACCCTTAGTCTAGAACACGGCATGGTCACCGTGTTTGGGTCGTACGGTTCGATTGACGCCACGATCCTTGGCATATTGGTCCATTAGTTATGTTAGTGAGACTGCATGAAACTTGAGAGGAACGATGCAACCAGTAATTTTCGATGCTCGTAACCTTCATTGCTACCGGCCTGCCTACTAACCTTAGGTACCTACCTTACCTACTCTACTGTTTGGGTGCATTAGCATACCTAGATCAGGAAAGTCGAGATGATGACTACTACCTGTAGGCGGTTCATTGTCAAGCTTTGGCACAAGATCTATATATCCTTCATCTGCAGCTGAAGCACAATGCTTACCATGTTCAAATAGACCTACATAAAACATAATACCTATCGTCCCATTGAGACAATGCCGCATCTCCCATTGCGCTTCCTATCATTGTTATAAGCGAAAGGATCTTAACTTCAAGACTGCTCTATCATACATATACAGCATCTTCAATTCGAAATGTTTCACCATATACTGAATGCTTACGTCCAGAAAGCCAAACCAAGGCAGCGTAGCTCATGACTTGTGTTGTATTACCACGATGAAACATTATACCACTATAGAACTTTAATTCGTGGGTGTCATGCCCCAAGCTCTATTAATTCACCTGTTGTAATTTGTTGATATTTTGACTTGATCAAGATCCGAAGTTAGAGCCAAACTGGAAAGGTAAATACCGTTTATAACGTACCTGAGGTACCTATAGAGTGAGTGAGACGGTTGCAGAAGTAGACTAGCGTTGACACGGTGCAGCCAGCGGTAAATGCTCATCTCAAGACGCGTCTCCACAAAAAAAGCTCCCAAATACTATGCGGACCAGCCGCCTCCAACACATCCGTTGCCATCAACGACCACAATCTTCCCATTTCGATTTACATAGTCATCATCCCAGTTCCTGCTTTCGACTACTGGGAAACTCCTTCTTCGAAATCTCGATACTTTTCTGAACTGGGTTAGGTACTCGCGACCGATAAATTTCCCGATTCGAGCAGGCTGATTTCGGCATTCAGCTCCCAAGATGTCGTTCAGCTTCGGAAACGCAAGCTCTTCCAGCGCGCCCAACAACACGACGTCGACTGCGCCAGCTTCGGGCAGCCTTTTTGGAGCAGCTACAGGAACTCCTAGCTTCTCATTCGGCTCTATTGGTGGCTCTGCCAGTAACACCACAACACCGACCAGCAGCGCAACCAATATGTTTGGTCAACAAAGCGGTACCTCGGCGCCGAAGCCCGCCAGCAATCTCTTCGGCGGCGGCGCAAACGCGGTCAACACTTCTACCACTCCCTCTTCTGGCGGTATCTTCGGTGCTGGTGGCTCTATAACTCCTGCGACAGGTGGTCTTTTTGGGGGTGCTTCGTCTACCACGCCAGCGGCTACTTCAGCACCTTCTAGCGGTGGATTGTTCGGTGGTGGTACCAGCAACTCAACGGCCCCTGCGTCTTCAGGACTGTTTGGAAACAATGGGGCTAATGCAAACAAGCCAGCCACTGGTCTCTTCGGCGGTGGCAGCTCTTCTACCACTACTAGTAATGGCGCTGGTCTGTTCGGCCAGAATAATGCCAACCAGGCAGCGACAGCTACCCCTTCTTCTGCACCCACAAACCTTTTCGGAAACGCTGCCTCTGGGGCGGCAACGCCTGCTAAACCAACTTTCGCTTTACCATCTACGACTCCAGCAGGGGCACCACCGGCCGACTCTTCGAAGCCTGCTGGTGGATTATTTGGGAACACAGGCGCGCAAGCATCTAGTGGAAACTCTAGTCTATTCGGCGGAGCAAAACCTGCGAGCACGTCTGCTCCTTCTGCCCAACCCAGCACTACAGCTGCTGCATCACCCAGCGGTCTCTTCGGGGGTGCGCAGTCCGGAAGCGCTGCTCCTACCGGGGGTCTTTTCGGAGCGAAGCCGGCTTCAGCCTCTACCCCCGCAGCTGGAGGCCTATTTGGTTCAAAGACTGAAGGGGCTCCGCCTGCTGCGACTTCGCAAGCCGGAAGCACGGCCTCCTTATTCGGTGCCAAACCTGCAGCTCCAGCGACTACAACTCCAGGCTCGACACCGGCGAGTGGCCTCTTCGGTGGTGGCGCAACAACTTCTGCTGTCTCAGGAGCTTCTGCCACAACAACAGCTGGAGGTTTGTTTGGAAACAAATCTGCAACGACTGCAACTTCTACTGCAGCTCCGGCCACAACTTCAGCAAGCGCTGGCAGTCTCTTTGGCGGCGCCCCCAAGCCATCTACTGAGTCATCTACTTCGAAGCCAGCCGGTGGTCTGTTCGGAGCACCTGCATCCAGTCAACCAGCCGGTTCTGCAGCTACCACAACTGCAACAACTGGTGCAACAACTACTACTACTGCCCCTGCGGCTGGCTCAACTCCTGCTGCTGCCAGCAGCCTGTTTGGTGCGAAGCCTGCCACAGACACCAGCAAGGATGCAGCTAAGTCTGCGACTTCCAGTGCCACCCCTGGGGCTCTAGGCGCTTCTACAACTGGCCCAACATCCCAGATGGCGCGACTCAAGAACAAAACTATGGAGGACATTGTTACACGTTGGGCATCCGATCTCTCCAAGTATCAGAAGGAATTCAAGGAGCAAGCCACCACTGTGTCGACCTGGGACAGAAGCCTCGTGGATAACGGTGAGAAGATTCAGAAGTTGTACTTGGATACATTCGAGGCTGAACGAGCCAGCCATGAAATCGAGCGACAACTTGCTGCCGTAGAAAGCCAGCAAGATGAGCTCGAGGCTTGGTTGGACCGATATGAGTCTGAGGTTCAGGATATGTTTGCGAAACAGCTTGGTCCTGGCGAGCAGTTAGCTGGCCCTGACCAGGAACGGGAACGTACGTACAAGCTTGCGGAGAAGCTGACGCAACAATTGGACGAAAAGTCGCGCGATCTCTCCAAGATGGTCAAGGAAATCAATGACATCTCAGGAACATTGAACAAGGGTGCTAAGCCTGAGGACCCTGTAAGTTACATTCCATTTTTATTACCCTGGATAAGGTTTGCTAACCCAGTACACAGCTGAGCCAGATTGTTCGGGTCCTGAATGGTCACCTTACACAATTGCAGTGGATTGATGCTAATGCCTCGTCGCTGCAAGCCAAGGTTGCGGCTGCTCAGAAATCAAGCAGCAACCTAGGAAGTCATTATGCTGGTTCTGATAACGATGCGGCAGAGAGCTTTTATCGTTCTTATATGGGTCGACGATGAGGAGGAGTAATAATTATTGGCTTGGAGTTTTAGGCAAGGAATTCGGGTAATTCTGTATCAGACATGAATGAACACGGAGAGAAGACGCGCAGTAGAGCTCAGTTGAGAGTAACAGGGATGCGGGCTGTTGAGGAGTGCAAATGCGTGATTGTTCTTGTACACTAGTTTACCTTAGACTATGGGAAAAAGACAAGCACTGGAAGAAGTGCAATCTCAAGTCAGGTCGAGTTCCCCCAATTGATAAATATACATCCATCGATCTTGGCGAGCGGGATTGAACCTCACTCAGAGCTGATGGTTCCTCCCCGCAGCCTTTGCCGGGGGTTATCCGGTAATCCGAGGTATGAGTTGTTTAGTTCTTCTCGCCGCCCTGCTCACGGGTGATCTCGTCACTGAAGGGGAATTGAAGTTAGAGGTATGCTCAACTCGGGCCCGTCAACTGCACGGATGGTACATAGGTAGCTTACATGTGCTTGGAGAGACGGTCAAGGTGCTGCTGCTGCTCCTGGAGCTTCTTCTTGAGCTCGATGAGCTTCTCCTTCTCGCGCTGGCGGATAGCGTAATCCTCGCTGGCCTTCTCCCGTCGCTGGAAGGCATCACTAGAGAATGACAAATGTCAGAATGCTTCAATCGCCCTGTCAATTGGACCGTAGACCGAGAACTCACCCGGAACCACCAGTGGGACGGACTGAACCAGTAGCTCCCTCAGTCATGACGCGAGGAGTGGTAGAGAAGCATCGAACAGGCCGGAAGGCGGCTGTCTGGCGGAAGGTTGTGCGAAGCATGTTGGTGTTGAAGTTTTGGTTTTTTATCTTGGCTTGCTAGTGACCAGGAAGGATTGGAGATGTGCTTTGTTTTGTAGCCGATGACGTTGGAGGGTTGCTGGTGAAAGAGTCGGCCATGATCTGACGACGAGCTCAGGCCAAGGGTAGAATGCCATGGTCGCCTTAGGCCGTTACCTGATATTAGCACATGACCGGCTGGTAAAACCAGGTACTGGGTTAACAATCGTGGCCGGCCTAGCGGTAAATCCCGGCCTCCTCCGCCTGCAAGCTCGGATCTGGGTCATGATCTTTCAGCCTACGAGACAACCGAATTGAGCCAGCCAGGTACCAGGATATAGCTCTAGGGTGCCTGGACCAGGCATAACTACCCTAGATTGTACGAAGTCGCACTTTAGTTTATCGGTATTTTAGATAGTATGAAGCTCGGGTTTTCCTTGCATTTGATACTCGACCTTCACAAGCTAGGTACCTATGGATGGCGCATCACATGTACCACACACACAGCTTGGTCCCATAGGTAGCCATGGCATGACATCAGAGCTCTCGTCAAGGTGGGGGTTTTTATCAGGGTTTATTCTCAATACCTAGGTACTTAAGTAGTACTAGACATAATACCATAATAGGTACTAAAGTAGGTACCGTACGGTGTTCCATGCTACCCACTAGCTGATTGAGTTATCAGCATATGTAGACCTCGAGAGTTTCAGGACAACTACTCTGGCAGGCAGAGGAAGTTATATTGGAAGTTTTGGATAATGACGTCAGTGAAACAGGTAGATAAACTACCAAAGCAACATAATATACGCAATCCAACTGTAACCCGGGTATGTGCCCCGCCAATATACATTCCAGTCATCTCATAGTTCTATGACTTAGTACCCCAGAATACTCATCAATGAAATCGGATGCCTCAACTTTGTCGGAGTAATATAGTGCAATGCTAGCTATCTCGCGGATTTGCAAGACTGAGGCGATACAGGCGTCCGAGGCGAGGTGTATCCACTGCAGAGCAGTCAATCGACTTAGTTGAGAGCGAGATCTCCTTCGTGTTCCAACATGAGAATGATGAGTCTGACCAGCAGCATTGAGATTGCCGTTCCTGTCCCACAGCCAAAGTCTCGTGTCGGCACTTCTGTGGTTGTTCCGAGCACACCAACAGCCTGACTAACAAGGCAAAAGAAGCAATCAGGTCGGGTCGCATGATGACGATGATGACACTTGACACCATGGACCCCTCATTCATTTTTATTTTTAATTTTTAATTTTATTTTGGTAAAGTCGCCTTGTTTATTAACGTGCCCGTTTGTTAGCCGTTGACGTGTCTTTCCGCTATTGTTAACGGCTTTTGTCGGCCAGAGATTCAAGGCCAAAAACATAGTTCTTAACGTCGAGTTGCGAACTAAAAAGAACCATGGACAGTTCTATGGGACCACCTAAGCTGAAAAGTAAGGCGTGACTGTTCGGCAGACGAATTACATAGGTAGGGAGATAATGTAGTAAGGATGCCAAGATCCAAGACCCATCACCCATCAATGCGAGGCCTCAATGGAGGCCCATTTCGTTTGGCAACTTAATCGTGACGAGACAACCTAATGAGATTAAGCATGAATGAGAAGAAAGATTGTCCATTGTTGGGTGTCCACTGAAGTTCCAAGGCCCAGCAAGTTTCAATGGATCACCATGGCAGGTAGGTGGAGGAACACCTATTGGGTGGGGGTGCTGCTAATCAATGTACGTACATGGGGCTGACTGCCCGGCTGCTGGCTGCTGGCTGCTGGCACTGGCAGTCACTGCCCAGAGGTGCCCCTTCCTCGATATCTCTCGCGCTTTCGTCACCCCCAACCAATAACTTGACAATAACTCCGCCGTCTAACTCTCTCAACTCAACTCGTTCCGCAAAACCAAACCACTTCTTTTTTCCCCATCTCTCTTCTCTTTCTCTTGGCCCCATTCGCCATCTGCCAACTCCTTCAACTGAAGCTCCTCTCAGCCGAATTTTGTTTATTCGCTTTCCCTTAAACAATCCCTCAAGCTACTATAAATTTCCACGACTCAAGGTACGTATCTACACTTCTGCCCAGCTCAACACTTCTACTTGTGAGCAAGAACCCTCGCCATGTCCTGTTGCGGCTATCTCGTCTTCTTGTTGTTGTTTGTGTTTGTGTTTCGTTGTGCCCTTCCACCACCCCCTCTGTCGTCATTGCTCCCCTCCTCAGACCGAAACGAACACGCACCCATTATCCCCCTTGGGATCTCCGGGCGCCTTCACCACTACGATTAAGCGATAGCCGCCCTATCTGTACTGCCAACGACGAAAACGCCTTATTTCGAGGCTACTCATCGTTTAGTTACCTTGCGGTACTCGTTGTCGCTTGTCGCCCATCTCAGGAGGCCGTCGTCTGAGAAACCCCTCCGCCACTGACAGGCCTAAGAGCGGGGAGCCTCACCGAGTCGTCGCCGCCGCTCTAGCCACGCACTAGGCGCGCAACTGCCTCTCCCTGTATCGCCTAAAACCGTCGACTTATCGCCCCTCGCCCACTTCGAAGCTTCCTTCATCATTCCATTACCGTTGCTTTCACCAACGCATACACGAGCTTGCGCCGTTCGACTCTACCACTCTCTTTGTGCCTGCCTGCCTGTGTCTGCAAATATCGCTTTTATTTGCTTCGTCTGACAAGCTTGACCACCCCCTTTACTAACTGTCCTGAAACACAGTCGCCAAACATCAACAAAATGGGCCACGAAGACGCCGTCTACCTTGCCAAGCTCGCCGAGCAGGCTGAGCGATATGAGGGTATGTTCTAGGACTCAACACAATATGTCAACCGCGCGCTAACGTATGGGGCGCGCGCCCATTGCAGAGATGGTTGAGAACATGAAGATTGTCGCTGGTGAGGATCGAGATCTCACTGTCGAGGAGCGAAACCTTCTCTCCGTTGCCTACAAGAACGTCATTGGCGCCCGCCGTGCCTCCTGGCGCATAGTCACCTCTATCGAGCAGAAGGAAGAGTCAAAGGGCAACTCTTCTCAGGTTACCCTTATCAAGGAGTACCGACAGAAGATCGAGGCCGAGCTTGCCAAAATCTGCGACGACATTCTCGAGGTTCTCGACCAGCACCTTATTCCCTCTGCCAAGTCTGGCGAGTCCAAGGTTTTCTACCACAAGATGTAGGCGCCAACTCATCACATCCTCTTGCATACTTTTATTGACCAGTCTTGCAGGAAGGGTGACTACCACCGTTACCTTGCTGAGTTCGCCATCGGTGACCGCCGCAAGGACTCTGCCGACAAGTCGCTCGAGGCCTACAAGGCTGCTACTGAGGTTGCCCAGACTGAGCTTCCTCCTACTCACCCTATCCGCCTGGGTCTTGCCCTCAACTTTTCAGTTTTCTACTACGAAATTCTCAACGCCCCTGACCAGGCTTGCCACTTGGCCAAGCAGGCATTTGACGACGCTATTGCTGGTACGACTCGCGACTGCTTTCACTTGGCCAACATTATACTGACACGGTTTTCACAGAGCTCGATACCCTGAGCGAGGAGAGCTACAAGGACTCTACACTGATTATGCAACTGCTCCGTGACAATCTTGTGAGTTTTCTAATCGCCTATTTTCACCTATTCGACGACAGCTGACACAACGACAGACTCTCTGGACCTCCTCTGAGGCCGAGACCTCCGCTCCTGGTCAGGCCGAGGCTCCCAAGGAGGACGCACCTGCGGCCGCTACCGAGGAGCCAGCTGCCCCGGCCGAGGAGCCTAAGGCCGAGTAAGGAGTCGACTAGTGATTTGTCTATGCAGGTGTCAGGTGGACTGGTGTCTACGGAGTGTGGACGGAAGACCTCGTTTTTGATCAAGAGCTTCGGCATCGTTTCAGTACAGACAATGGCCATGGAAAGGACTGGGTTTTTCACCAACGGGCTGGCTAGGCGAGTCTATAACAGAACACTTTTACGTTCTGCTCTTAGACTGTTAATGCGTTGGCCGTCTGGACAATAAAAATACTAAAATTACTTTCAACACACGAAATATATGACTAGTGATGACGCAGTTGAAGAAACTGAATTGGGATGTTTTTGGCATGCAAGCAACAACACTAGGTTATGGTGCAAGGTATCTTGTCTGATTGTTGGCCGGGTTCTTGGATCATGGATCCTGGCTTGGTTAGTTTATGCCCTTGCCAAGATATAAGCGGATAGGGTTTCAACCGTAATAAGATTATGAGGAAGCCGCAAAGTCAAGTCAAGTCTTTCAATGTTTTATTTGAAGGATGTGGTTGTTGTTCATCCTCAATAACGGCAAAGTGAACTCGAAGCCACAAACTACAGTCGAGACAGCCAACCACAAGCTCCCCCTCATCACTCACTTCTTCCAAGTCTGCTTCGCAAAACTCATAGCTGTGCTCATTCCCACAGCGACAAGGGCGGTACCAGCATTGCTGATCCTCATCAAATGCCAGGTCATCTAGGTCAACATTTTCCACGCCGGTCTGAAAAGAGCCATCTCTCTTGTCGCTTTGGCGAGACACCCGCAGAGCGGCGTCGTAAGCTGCTCGAGAAGAAAGGTCGGAAAGAGTGTTGAGAGCAGTTGTGATTTGGTCGACTGTGAAGCAAACAGAGGATGGATCTGAATTTGTGACTTTGTCTGGGTGGTTACGGAGGAGGGCCCGGTGATAGGCGCGCTTTATGAGAGATGTAGAATCGTGCTGTGTGTCGAGTAGCGTGGGCGTGAGGCCGAGGACTTGATAATGTGTTGCCACCTCTGGTGAGGTGACTACAGCCTGTGAAGAGGCCATGCTAGAGGGTCGAGTGATGTAGATGCGCGTTTGTCAAGTGAAATCTGGACAGCTAAAAGCTTGAAGGCTTCAGCGTTTGATATCACGTGATACACATTCAACGGAGATAGATGGAGCTATTGGTGATATCGTAGATATCCATCTACCTTGGGTTACGTGGAGAAATGAGTGTCATATTAATGTTAGTTGGTGCACAAGATAAGAAGTTCATGTCCTAGAACCTCCAGACGCAGTGGTAGTTGGATGGTTTGTACTCTACGGAAGGGAGGCTGGATCTCGAGTGCACAACCGTTCTCGACAAGACGGTCGCTGATATTGTTGTACATAAAAATACATGGTGAATGCATAGGGCGAGCCAAAGCAGGCATTCCATCTCTCTTCTTGCTGTTTATTTGGGGAACTTGGTCCAACCGTATTTGCCCACCTGTTGATGTAGTTAGCAAAACATGCTTCCCTGGACGATCAAGGCAGTTAATCTTTATTCTTACCCTCTTCCAGCGCTTGATAAGACTGGGCATATCCAGCATGGCTTTTCTTCTCGTCTCCATCCTGCAGTATAGTTAGTCAATGTTGTTCTAGGCTCATTGCAACCTATAGCCAGCCAGTACAGCTGTGATGGCCATGATGGGAGCGTTCACTTACTTTGCAATCATATGTCGTTCGTGAATATGACCCTTGACCTTCTGTCCTACACCAGTACCCTTGACTCTCAGACCATGCTCAACCCGGTGAGCCAGCTTGTACTCAGTGCCCTTTCGTGTTTCTGGCAGCAGATCCTCAACGCCGTTCTCACGGGCCATCTTGACCAACTCGGCCTGACGACGCTGCGAGTAGACAGGATCCTGCCATTTGCCAGTCACTGGGTGCTTGTAGAAGCGGAAAGGGTTCGGCCTCTCCTGTTGGTATCGGGTCTTTGGGGTATTTTCGGGGAGGATGGCGGCGGGAGGATAGCGGGCAAAGAAGCGCTGTAGTGGTGCGGGCAGCGACTTTGCAAGCCCAATGAACTGTGATGTTGACGCCATGGCAATTTGCTGAAGGGCAACCGGTTGCATGCCCCGGAACTGAAAGAATGGTCACGAATCTGGAGCTTTCTAATCTTCAAGGCTACGGTCCCCAAGTTTTCAGGTAACTACTGAGCCTACCTACCTAAACAGACCCCCGGCCCGCCCACGCAGGTGGACCCCCGTCGTTTTTCATCAGCCAATGATTCGTAAAAGCACCAGGAGCTAAATCCATACTTCCTCAGCCTTGTCAACTCTTGTCATTCAACAACATCATCAGTCATCGCTTCTATTTGTGGTGGGCGACTGCCTAATACAAATTTTGTTATAACGTATCGCTCTCTTGTATCTAATCCTTCATCACACAAAATGCCCCTCGATATTGAAGAAATCTTGCGGCAAAAGAAGGCTGCAGATGCCGCAGCTGCAAAGCCTAGGTTCATCCCCAAGGCCGAACGAGAGCGACTAGCAGCTGAAAAGGCAAAGAAGGAGGAAGACGAGCAGAAGCGAAAAGCTTCCGAAGACGCACAGAAACGGCGAGAGGAAGAACAAAAATGGGCCGCCAGATCAAACGGCCCTTCAAGGCACAACGATTCCACGAATGGATCATCGCGCGTACCGACGGGGCCCAAGGCTATGAACCAGGAGAATGGGCGTGATCGAGATGTATATAGAGATCAAGGACGAGGGAGAGGAAGAGGAAGAGAAGGTCGGAAGGGAGATAAACAGGCCGCGGATAAGCAGTCTGCAGAGGATATCGAGGCCACTCTTCTCCGGTCACGATACCTGGGGCCCCAAGTCAACCAGCAGTCCAACTTTTCGGCGAAGAAGAAACGAATGCGAACAACAGAGAAAAAGTTCAATTTCGAGTGGGACGCTGATGAAGATACGTCACGCGACAACGATCCCTTGTATACTCGTCAGGCCGTCAACCACAATGGATCATTCGCCGGTGTTGGTGGAGAATTCGACGATGAAGCCGAGGAGCGCGCTCGTAAGAGAGCTCGAATGATAGAGCAGAGAGATCCAGAAAATGGAAAAGAGAGAGCAAAGGGCATCATGGAAGACTTCTTCCGGGCACGCGACAAAGCGAGACAACGAGCTGATCGAACAGGACTGGGCAAGCGATGGACTGAAAAGTCTTTGGAAGATATGCGCGAGCGGGATTGGCGAATTTTCAAAGAAGATTTTGGAATCGCTACAAAGGGCGGTATGATTCCGAATCCCATGCGAAGCTGGCAAGAATCGAATCTCCCTAAGCGTTTGCTCAACATTGTCGAGGATGTGGGTTACAAGGAGCCGACGCCCATTCAGCGAGCTGCAATTCCTATCGCGCTCCAAGCCCGCGATCTAATCGGCGTAGCTGTCACCGGTTCCGGAAAGACAGCCGCCTTCCTGCTACCACTGTTAGTCTACATCTCTGATCTACCGCCCCTCGACGAGCTCAATAAGAACGATGGCCCCTACGCTCTCATAATGGCCCCGACTCGAGAACTGGTGCAGCAGATCGAGTCTGAAGCCAGGAAATTTGCTGGTCCCCTCGGCTTTCGCGTTGTGAGCATCGTCGGTGGCCACTCTATCGAGGAACAAATGTACAACATGCGCGATGGTGCTGAGATCATCGTTGCTACACCGGGTCGTCTTATCGACTGTCTCGATCGACGAATGCTCGTCCTAGCACAATGTTGCTATGTCATTATGGATGAAGCAGATCGTATGATCGACATGGGTTTTGAGGAACCTGTTAACAGGATCCTCGAAGCACTACCAGTCAACAACGAGAAGCCGGATACGGAAGATGCAGAGGACGCAACAAAAATGAAGCGTTATTTGGGTGGAAACGATCGTTACAGACAGACCATGATGTATACAGCAACCATGCCGCCTCAGGTGGAAAAGATTGCGAAGAAGTATCTCCGCCGTCCAGCCGTCGTCACCATTGGTAACGCAGGCGAAGCCGTTGACACTGTCGAGCAGCGTGTCGAGTTCATTCCCGGCGAGGACCGTCGCAAGAAGCGTCTGCAAGAGATACTTGCCTCGAACGACTTTGCGCCACCCATCATTGTCTTCGTCAACATCAAGCGCAACTGTGATGCTGTCGCCCGGGACATTAAGCAGATGGGTTGGACGGTTGCCACACTACATGGTTCCAAGACCCAGGAACAGCGAGAAGCTTCTCTCCAGTCAGTGCGCAACGGCGCGACGCAAGTTCTCGTTGCAACTGATCTTGCTGGCCGTGGTATCGATGTTCCCGATGTCTCCCTCGTCGTCAACTTCAATATGGCCCCTAAAATCGATAGCTACACTCATCGTATCGGCCGAACAGGTCGTGCTGGCAAGAGTGGTGTTGCCATTACTTTTCTGGGTCCTGAGGACGCTGATACTATGTACGATCTCAAGCAAATCCTCAGCAAGAGCTCCATCTCCAAGGTCCCAGAAGAGTTGAAGAGACATGAGGCTGCACAGTCAAAACCAGTACGTTCTGACGGCGGAGGATCAAGGAAAGACAAGGAAGAAGGGTTAGGGAAAGGAGGCTGGTAGACACTGATCCTGGAGAATAATTTAGGCGACATGAAATAATTGAAATGGAAAGAATCCATTAGTCTCGTCAACTACAAGAAAGAATCTGCAGAGTGAACCCATTTATAAATATCACATGCACATCTCGCATCAATTCTTTCCTATATCTGGAGCACACCCACTGCCAAGCACACACTCTTTCACACGTCTTCCTTTTATCTTATCTTATCTACTCCAGCTTTAGCTGCTCAAACTGCTTGATGGTCTCCTCGAAGCTGTTAAGCTCTTGCTTGGCATCTGCCAATCTCTTCTCGTCTGTCTCGCGGACGGCGTCTGAGACCTTCTCAAGGTAGCCAGGGTCATTGAGAATCTTTTCCTGTTTTTGGATGTTGCTCTTTGCCTTGTCGAGCTTCTTCTGCGCCTTGGCGATCTCGGCATCAAGGTCAACACGGCCCTTGACGTGAAGGAAAACGGAGGCCTCGGTTGAGACAGGATAGGCGACGCACCCGGCGGGTCTATTAGCGTCGGGGTTGAGGATTTCGACTCCCTTGATACCCTTACCGCTCAAGGTCTTAATAGAAGACGACTGCTCCTTAGCGGTGGTGAGAGCAGTATCGTTGTAGGCCTGGATAATAACTATGAATGAGTCAGTAAAATTGTTTACGGGATCACAGGGTTATAGCACTTGCCCTCAGCCTCATCCTTGAGGGCGTACTCAGCCATCAGTGAGCGAGCGGCCTTGGAGCAGCCTAGAACAAGCTCGTAAGCGCGCTCAGACTCGGGGTCATTAAGCTTCTCGTGGTAGACGGGGTACTTCGCGACCATGATAGACTTGGTCTGATCCTCAGGTCGTCGGGGCATTCGTTGCCACATCTCCTCAGTGATGAAGGGCATGAAAGGGTGAATCATGGCGAGAGCGGCCTCGAGAGCAGTGTAGAGAGTCTGGACAGCAGACTCACGCTCCTTTGGAGTACCGTCACGGATGATGGCCTTTGAGTTCTCGATGTAGACATCGCAAAGCTCGTTGTACCAGTAGCGGTAGACGATCAATGTTGACTTTGAAAACTCGCGATCCTCAAGAGCACGGTTGATCTCTTTGGCCGCGGTGTTCATCTTGTGAAGAATCCACCGCTCGGCAAGAGTTTCGCCACGGACAACCCCTGACGTCGAGGGAGTGAAGTCCTTGGGGAGACTTCCCAGAACATATTTGGTAGCTTGGAAGATCTTGTTACAGAACTTGCGGTATCCGTGGATAATCTTGACATCTAGGTTGATATCACCACCACCGGTTGTGGCGTTAATCATGGTGAAACGCAGGGCATCAGCACCACACTGGGGGATACCATCGGGGAAGGCAGTCTTCTGATACTTGGTGGCCTTTGTAACCTCGCTGGGGTGTAGGTTACCTTGTAGAAGCTTGTCGTGGAGAGACTGCAACTGGATACCTGAGATGACATCCAGGGGATCAACGACGTTGCCCAAACTCTTACTCATCTTACGACCTTCAGAATCTCGAACAAGACTGTGGCAATAGACCTCCTTGAATGGGATATCGCCCGTCATCTTGAGACCGAGCATGATCATTCTGGCAATCCAGAAGAAGAGGATGTCCCAACCGGTCTCGAGGACCTCTGTGGGATAGAGAGTTTGGAGGTCGTGGGTGTTGTTGGGCCAGCCGAGGGTGCTGAAGGGCCAGAGCCCAGAGGAGAACCATGTGTCGAGGACATCCTCATCTTGCTCAAGTGTATATGTCTTGCCAGGGAGTGCAGCATTAGCTTTCTCCTCAGCCTCCTCTCGTGTTCGGCCGGCAAACCAGAGCTTCTCCTCAGGGATGTCTCCAGCGCCGCCCTCGATCTTAGCGTAGTAGACGGGACATCGGTGACCCCACCAGAGCTGCCGGCTGATGCACCAGTCGTTGATGTCCTCAAGCCATCGGAAGTAGCTCTTCTCAGCAGTCTCTGGTCGGATCTTAATGCGCCCGTCTCGAACAGCAGCCAAGGCAGGCTCAGCGAGTTCCTTCATGCGGACCCACCATTGGGGTTTCAGAAGAGGCTCAATGATATCTTTGGACTTTTCGCACAGAGGGACCTTCATGGCATTGTCCTTCTTGTCAACATATAGACCCTTGGCCTTGAGATCATCTTGGATAGTGTAACGGACGTCGAATCGCTTCTGGCCCTTGTAAGCGCCGGTGTTCTCGTTCATAAGACCATCGTCGGTCAAGATGTTGATAAACTCAAGACCGTGCTTCTGGCCGAGAGTGAAATCGTTAGGATCATGAGCTGGAGTAAGCTTGACAGCACCGGTACCGAATTCCATGTCGACATACTCGTCGGCGATGATGGGTAGCTTGCGGCCCTCGATAAAGGGGTGGATGGCAGTCTTTCCGATGAGGTGCTTGTACCTCTCGTCCTTGGGGTGGACAGCAATGCCGGTATCACCAAGCATAGTCTCAATACGGGTGGTGGCAACCTCGACAAGCTCATCGGAACCTTCAATGGGGTATTTGAAGTGGACAATGACGCCGAACTCGACCTTTTTGTCGTAACCAGGGACTTCGAGCAGGGTACGGCCAGTCAACTCCTTGTTGACGACCTCGAGGTTGGAAAGCGCGGTGTTAAGCTTGGTGCACCAATTAACAAGTCGGTTTGCTCGGTAGATAGTGCCCTCCTCGTGAAGCTTGACCCAGGTCTCAGTAACAGCAGCAGACAAGTTCTTGTCCATGGTGAAAGCTGGTTTCTGTTAGCAGTTATTTCTCCTCAGAATGGGTTTGGGGCTGACGTACCCTCTCTGCTCCAGTCAAAGGATCCTCCCAGGCTGGTCAGGGCCTTGTTGATGCGCTTATGGTATTCGTCCTTCCACTTCCAGACGGTGTTAACAAATTCCTCACGGCCAAGGTCATGTCTTGTCTTTCCCTCCTTTCTCCAAAGCATGTTCTCAACAACGCTCTGCGTAGAGATACCAGCATGATCACATCCGGGCAACCAGAGGGTAGTCTTGCCTTGCATACGGTTCCATCTAATCATCAGATCCTGAAGGGAGTCACCAAGTGCGTGACCCATGTGCAGAGCACCAGTGACATTGGGGGGAGGGTGAACGATGACGAACTTGCCCTCGTCCTTGACGCTTCCATCGGGCTTGAACTCGGGTTTGAAGAAGCCCTCCTTCTCCCACCAGCTATACCATGCAGACTCGACCGCAATGGGGTTGTAGGCTTTAAAATGGGGGTCTTCAAATGACCGGATTCGCTTCTTCTCGCCCTCCGGGGTGTCTTCGACGTATTCGGGGAGAGGCTCCTCCTCGACCTTCTTTTCCTTAGGCTTCTTTTCTTTGGCAGCTTTGGGGGCGGTGGTAGCGGCCTTTTGCTTCTTTGCTTCGAACTTGGCCTGTTTCTCGGCCTTCTTTCGTTCCTTTTCCACTGTGAAATCATGTCAGGGGATGTACCCGAAACTGTCAATGGATTGCGTATTACGTACACTCCTTCTCAGTCTTCACCTTGGGCACACCGGCTGCGGCTGCGGCTGCTGCGCCGGCATCTTGACCTGTAGCGTGCGCACCGGTGGCAGACTCGACAATCTCCTTCTTCTCCGCGGCGGGAACGGCTGGAGGAGTGCTGGTAGCGTCCTGGATGCCCTCGCTGGCGGCGACTATGATGTTATGATTAGTATCAGCGTTGTTATATGCAGAGGACTGTAACGAACTTGGGTTTCCTCGCCCACTGTTGGTCGCCATATTTACTCGCGTGGTTGTTAAGGGTCGGCTTGCTCTTGGGGAAACAGATCGCACCCTCAGTGCTCGAACCGCGAGTCTGAACGTCGTGCCGGAGATGACTGAATGAAGCCCGTAACTTGAGGGCTTCAAGCAATGGCCTGCACCTCAAATTGATATAGGTAGATGTTGTGTGACTCTTAACAGCTCACTCAGCTACAACACTGCAATTTCGAGGATTGAGTCACCCACCCGCTTCTTCTGATGGTGGGGGATAACTTTTAGTTGGTTCATGGAGGGGTACAGAAAGTGTGGCGTAGTATGCATAATGCAGTACCTAGGTACTAATCTATTTGCCATGTCAAATCACATCAAATCATTAGAAATAATGCCCAATGCGGCTCATCTCGTGTGGCTAGTTAACTCATTGATAAGTGTTGATCATCACTTACTTAGATAGTATACTCATGCATTGTTATTCTGATGACTCTTTTCTTTACACCAACGATATCGGACCACCTCCACTGATTCCAGTTGAGCTTGGAAAATGTGGCGCAGCAGTTCACTGGCCACAAAGGCTCAACTCAGCCAAGTGAAGTGCCTGAGCTTGATGTCGTCTTAGACTAGGCGCCTCCCTATGTGTGCAATAAGTTGTGACGAAATTACTACAAAGGCCAATATTCAAAGCATCTACTCCAACCTGACGTATTTGGTGTAACCGATCTTTGGATTCTGTCCCGATGGCCTTACGGCTAGCACTAAGAGCTCCTAGGAGCCGTCTCTACAATTGCCTTTCGACCACAACCAGGAGAGTCTACTCAACAAGTAAACAATCGGATTACTTTACTGTTGAGCTGAGCCCGAAGATCAAGGTAAGTTCTGCAACAAGAGGGGTTGTCGACTTTGCTGACCCTCCCGAAGGATCCCTCAAGGCTATTACAAACCGTCAGATCACAGATAAACATCACCAATCCAAGCCGCCACGATGCAGCAGTTATACTGGCAACTCCACAGTATGCGCAATGGCTAGGCAAAAATGAATTCATGTCTGAGTTTGTAGACATGCTGTCAGGTTCTGACGGGACTGGCGAGTTCCATACTCTGGGCGCCGTTGTTGACCACATCGCCCCGCCAGTGCCAAAGAACAAACCCATTCAGGGCATATCTATCCTCCGTGGCGACCTCGACGGCATCCTACCAGGATTATGGACAGAGGCGCCCCCAAAGGAATGGTCGGACGGTGGGAAGGTGTCAGCTCTAACGATGGATCTTGGCAGCCCGCATATCACCATCCCTCTTACCAACACCACTTTTCAGAACCACAGGACCTCGACACTTATCATCAGCCGCTACGACTTGTCAACCGGCTCTCCGAAACTTATTGAGCAGACTGACAAAAAGCATTTGCAGAAAGTAACCATTCCCGTTCGGAAAAGGCTATCGTCAATCAACGGCCTTGGTATCTGGGCTCCCCTCGTACCTTTGACTCAACCCCGTGTGGTGACTGAGAGCTTTGGTAATATCGTACGGCGAATCGACATTGAAGACGAATCAGTTCCAGCATCAAGTGAGCTCGAGCCTGCAGTGGACGAGCTCCATGCCAGCAAATCGGACTTGGTTCAGTCTCCTTTGGGTATCTGGGCAATGATCACACCTCCGACTTTTGTTCAATCAGGGGTCAGCTCGCCCTATGTCAATCCGGATCCCGAGGCAACGTTTTCTGACGGCCAAAGCATCACGGAGCTAACGGCTGTAACCTCGGACCAATTGGGTAACCTGTATAGGCAAGGGGGTAGATTATATCAAGTTTGTAAGCAAACCTGCCAGTCCCTGTGCCCGATTGCATCTTTTAACAGCTTCCAGTGAGTGGTGGCGGTGGCTGGGGGGCGAAGAAGGGTTTGCTGTCGCTTGACCCCGAGCAAACTCACTTTGTTGTATCTGAAGAAGAAGAGATGCAAAGGTTCATCCAAGCTATGGAAGGGGGCAACTTTGTCCCTGTGAGTTCCAAAATCCAGTTCTTTGCATCAACAGATGCTTCTGCTAAGGAGCCGGTCGGAAACAAACAAACCGGTGTGGTGTTTGGAACATCCAGCAAGGTCGAGGTCGAAACTGATGTGAACCCTTCTCAACCTGAGGCACTATTGTTGGAGAATCATTTCGGCGCTCTCTCCAACATAGGTATCTTTGTGACCTCGTCCGATGCTTCCATGTTTTCAAAACCTGGGTTCAACAACGACTGGAAACTCAACGTGCCTAACTCTCGAATATATGCCGTATAGGTCAGAACGGAGTTGATGGTCCTCACTGGTGGCTGTCGTGTGTATAATAAGAATGTGCAAGTACTCCTGCCAACGACTAGATATGGTCGTACGCGTACGTGAGTATTATTCTACCTGCGTTGGTTTATTGTGGTCTTTTCTTCTTGTGCAATCCTTCTGCTGCCACCTTGGCGACATCATCCAGCGTTGTTCCCCTCTTCCTCTTTCCTACCTTCTCGTTTCCGAGTACTTCGTTCTCCGCAATATCCTGATAGACACTCGCGGCACCCATGAACATCTGTTTATCCCAGCCCGCTTCCTCATCGAAAGTGAGTGCAATCTCCTCCATCTCTCGCACCCAGCGATACGCCTTGGGTGGCATGCCAGGAACGCTCTTTTCAGCGTTGGCAAGCGTGGCTGGATAGAATTTACCAATCTCATCTTTGAGAGCGTCCAAGACGCCAAGATTATGTGCCGTCGTGAACGATTGAGTGGCAATGGCGGTAAATCCCTTTGAAAGGGAAGCAAAACACATTTTGAGACCACTTGCAGCGCCGATATCAGGAGAGATTTGCTTCATGTTGAGAACAGACATCAATTTCTTTCCAAAGGGGAGCGAGCTAAACCCATCCGAGCCTGATATAGGAATGCTAGGACGGTACCAGTCAGAATAATCGTTACTGCTCGATGATTCTGTTGCGGCACCAGGAGACGTCTTCTTGGGGGGAGTCCCAAGAATGCATCCGTCAACGAATCGTATAGGCAGATTTGATCTCCTAACAGATGCCGCAATGACCTTGACTGTCGAAGGTGCAACAGCATTGAGATCCACAAAGTGAAGCTCTCTCGTAGTGCCTAAGCCTGCTAACGCATCTGTAATACGAGTGGCTGTTGCCTCTGCGTCCTTAGGCGGCACAATGGAGAGAATAACGGAACTCTGTCTGACCAGCTCAACATCGGACTCGAGGAGCTCAACTTCTGCATCCCGAGCTCGTTCGATGGTATCTTTGCTGGAGGAGCTGTTAGCAGACATTTCATCGTCCTTGCTTGATCTGTCGGTCAGTTACCTTCTGCCACAGATGTTGGTTGCAACATTGAAACCGTTGGCAACTAGTAGTTTTGCAACACCGACTCCCATATCGCCAATGGACAATAGTCCAATTTTGGGTAGAGATTCGACGGTAGCTGACATCTTATGATTGATAATCAATTCAGATTGGGTGTTATGCGTTGATATGAGGTAAATACGTGATGGAGATAGGTTGACGCGGGGAACTAGTGGAGGGTAAGTGAGCTGCTATAAAACCTAATAAGAGTACAGTTTACCGACTCTTGTTGGAGATATTGGATGTTTTCAATAACGTTCCGAGGACGAAGGGCGAAAGCTATTTGCCTTATGCATAGGTAGGTAGGTAGCGATCAATGAAATATACTGCTGCTATTTGGCGTAGCAGATATTAATCTAGTGCACAGATTGACCACCAACGGACTAGGCGTATTGCCAACTTCACTTGAATGCTACAGGGTATATTGCAGGCACTTGTGTTACGAGATTTGCTTACACTGAATCGAGAATCGAGATCATCTGGTTATTACGTGGATGTAGAAAAGTGTCGAAGTTGGGAGAGCGAGGTGGGTGCGGGGCTTCCAATGAACGATACAGTGCTTTGCTATCCATTTAATACCTGTAAGCCATCGATCGATCAACTGAGGATAAATTATAGTTGAAAGTGGTAGTGATATCCCCTCTATAGGCGTTTATACCATCCGTGCATACCTTAGGCAGTATCATTACCCGAGATTAGGTTCCTAGCGAATGTATAAACTCACGACAGTTTTTAAAACCATTAGCCTTGCCTACGTTACGTGGAAATGGAATGGTTTTGGATGATATGATCAGAATGAACCGAGGCCTAGGGCCTGTCTGCACAGCGATAAGTCGTTTCTTGTGGTCAAGGTCGACGTCACTCTTCAAGGATCCCACCCTGTTTCTGGTGTCGCGGGGAACCATTCATGGCCCGATTCGATTCGCCTCTGAAGACATAAAGCACATGATGACGAACCTTTGAGGATAGCCACCTATAGATTAGACTGTCTAACTGTCACTCAAGATATATGATACATAGAATCGAAACTCGTAATTCATCAAACTATTCATTATCGACCAAAACCCAACGAGTTTATCGATCGTTTCCAAAACGTCGATAACATCAACTGACAGCCCATCATGTCCTCTTCTCCTCAACATCAGCATGATGCTACATCGGCATCCTCATCCAGAACTACCAGATCATCACAAGACAAACGCAACCACAAGAGGACAGAGACTATTCCAGCTTCAACCCCTCGGCAGCCAGACGAAATCGAAGAAGCTGATACGACAGTACCAGTAAAGACGTATCAACCAAAGCAGAAGCAGAAACGAGCTGAATCGCCATCTGACAAAGATATCGACGATGCCGAGAGTGTATATCTATCATCCAACGAAGAAGACACGTCAGATGAAGACTCCTCAGACTATGACTCAGACTCACAAGGTAGTGTGGAAGAGCTGCCTCCCCGTCAACTATCGAGGAGAGCAACAGATCAAGGTGTAAAAACAACTCCTGGGTCACCATTCACAGTCACCCAGACAAGAAGCGAAACTACTCACTGGGTATCAACACAGAACAATGGAGGCATGATGCGAGGAGCCAGAACTGTCAACCAGCAGACATCATTGCATGGACACAACGTCAATGGACCACAGCGAAGACCGAGCAATAGGAACAGTATTAGCTTCAACATGAGCGTCAACGTTGACATGTCCTTCAACGGCCTCGTCACAGGCAGAAACCTGGGCTTCACAGGGGTAGGCAACCGGCCATGAGTTTCTTTTCCTTCTTGTTTGGAACTCAATCGAAACGTTACTAACAATGACAGGGATCACTATCATATGCATGGAGCCGGCGCAACACGCAAGGGGGTTGATGTCCTCTCTTTCCATGTGGACTATTTGACTACAGGAGACCAAATTATTATTGACAACTTCGAATTCGAAGGTGGGATTTTAGGTGTAAGGCGCTAAACATTCTGGTGGTGTACATAGTTGTGAACATGACAGATACCAAAGTCAAGTATCATGGCAACAAAGCTACTCGATCATGTCAATGTCGTCGGCCGCAGCTTGAGCTTGAGTCTGCGTAGGTGCCTGTGTTTGAGCAGTGGGTGCATTTTGCTGGTCAGCAGGTTCTGCGGCCTGCTGGTTGTCACCGCCGCCAAAGTAGTCCGCCATCTCTGCATCCAGCTCCTCCTGTGTCTTCTTTCCACGAGGATTGCCTCGTCCGCCGCGTCCGCCCTCCTGATCTCTGCCACCATCTCTGCCATCGCGTCGAGCACCAGGGCGACGACCACCCTGACCTCGGCCCCGACCACCCTGTCTAGGCATTGGGCTGCGGCGAGGACCCTGGCCGGGAACATATCTATCGATTCCTCTGCGGGCAGCATCATCGTCGTCATACCGGCGATGGGGGGAATGGGATCTTCGTTCCCCGGGACTCGAGATTCGCTCTGCCAGTGGACGGCCGGGCATAACGGCGGTATCAAACGGGTTTCGCGAGGGTAGCAGAGTCAATCGAATGGGCTGACCTGGTTTCTGTTAATCAGGTTGCACAACCCGGCAAGCCGGCTTTTCACTCACCATTGGCATTGGCACCATCAAACTGTTTGACCGCCTCCTGAGCGTCCTCCTTCAGTTCGTACGTCACGTAAGCAGTACCCTCAGATCGCCCAGCGCGGTCATACCGTAGCTGAAGGCGAACAACTGGGCCGATCCTTCGAAATAGCTCCTAAATGCCTGTGAGCTGTTGTGTAGTAATTCCAGCCATGTCATCTACCTACATCCAGGTCTTCCTCAGTGAGATCATAGTGAATGTTGTCAACTCTGAGCTTGGCGCCCTTGGACTCCCTGTTGTACACGAGGTTAGGGGGTTCGTGATTGTCGATAGGTGCGACTCACTGGTCTGGGGATTCGCGGCGGCGGCGAGGAGCAGGCGCTCGGCGATTGTCTGGATACGTGTCAAAGGGGCGTCCTGGGCAGGAAGGGTTTTCAAGTATTACTGTTCTCTTCGAATCGGTCATGGACCCATTCGCTGTGTACGGTTAGCAAGCAAGAGTAGTAGGAAGGCAAGGCTTTGACTGACCTATCAAGGTTTCGTGAATCGTCGCGAACGGACTGCAAGTGGGAGGGACGCTCTGGTCAGCAATGGATTTTCAGAGTGGAAAGCCGTTCAATCGACAAAAGCCCCGAGCACTGAAAGGACGAGTTGCGAGGAGGGTTGTACAGGTCGAGTTGGCATCATTGGAGGGCGAGGGAAGTCAACCTGCACCGCCGACGTCAACAAAGACTCATGAAGAAGGCCAAGCTGCCGCCTGGGGAGAAACCAACCTTTCTAACACCATCGCGAGGGTAGTCATTACGGGGTTCACGTCGGCGACCTTGGCCACGGTGGTTGCGAGATCGATTGGCGCGCTGCGAAAAAAGAAAAGTCAGCCTGGGTTGGTTGATGCGAGATGGGGGCGCGTTCATGTCATGTACTGCGGGAGACGGTATGAAAGAATAGGAGGGAGATGAGAAAGACGTACAGTATCAGCGATGATCTCATCGAGACCGCGATCCATCTTGTCAGCCATGTTTGCTTATATTTGCTGCGAAGCGTGGCAGAATCCGCGACGAATTCGGCAAGTTGAGGTTGAAATTGAAGAGGAGAGGCCGTGTTGCTTGACAAAGTTGGGCCAAGGTTGTCTACGCACATGCGAAGGATGGATTGGGATGTCATGGGTGGGTGCCACAAACCAAGGCTTCAAGCCACAATCTGGGCGTTGAATCGTGGTGGAGCCTCCACCTATTATTAGTGCGACAATACGAGGAAGCATGCTCAAGTTGATAATGATATTGTTGGGTTTCAGACGATCGAACAGGACCGATTTACAATTGAAGCAGTCAAAAGAGACAAAAGCAAGAGTACTGCTACCATTAGGTATTTCTCAAGAAGCATCACATCATACCGTCAGGTTGAGCAAAACAAGGCCATTGCCGAAGGGCCTCGACCAAGCCGGGCTCTTTTTAAACTTCACTTCACTGGAGAGGTCTATGAGAAGAGAAGGCCTTGGATGAAATATGTAAAAACCTCGAATTCTCACTGACCTTGAAATTATCCCAAAGGTGTAAACGAATTACGGCCTCAGCCCTCGGATACGATGATAGGTAGTTATTTTCCAGAGTCAAGGTCTCTCCGAGCCTCCAAATCACAAGTTCCTAGGTGTTATCTGCTGGGATTCACCGATGGGATCCATGCCCGGGTCTCAGCGCTAGACCTGTTCTGGGGACTCAGCCAACTGAACCCTTCAGTCGCTGTGTCTTCAGTTAATTATCCCTTTGGAGGCCAGAGAACCACTTCGTATTCCTGTCATATTACCCCTTCGCTCAGTCTCGTCTGCTACGACCGCTTCTTCTTTTTCTCTTGTCTGTCTTTTGCCTCTTCAAAGGCTATAATTGAGAATTCAACCGTTCATACGAATCTATCTTAACCCCCTATCACTTATTCCTGAGCTGTCCCTCGCGGCGCATCTTGAAACAGCTTCAACATTTAATTTGATGCCCTCGACTTCCTCGCGATAGCTGGTGCTGTCGCACTCTGGTATACCCGAACACCTCGCCGCCTCTCAGGCGCATTAATACACCTCTCATGGCCCGACCCATGGGGGCGGTTCGTCTCAAGAAGACGAATCCCTTGACCCTCGCGCTCGGAGCGATCCTGTGCATCTTCATCATCGTCTTCCTCGTCTCCCCGTCGGGCAAATCCGCAACCGCTCGCCGATTCGAGTCCATAACTGCAGAACATCACCTCTCGCCGCCGACTTCACCGTACCGAAAGTCAAAATCCCGATCTGGCGTACCGCTCAAGCCACCACCCGTTGTGCACTACAACCTTAACAATGTCACCATTACGACTTCGCCCATCGCGAACCGAGAAAATGTCCTCATCCTGACTCCCATGTCTCGGTTCTACCCTGGCTACTGGGACAATCTTTTGCGCTTGACTTATCCTCATGAACTTATCACGTTGGGGTTCATCCTACCCAAAACCAAGGAGGGCAACCAAGCCACCACCGAACTCCAAGAGCACATCCACAAGACGCAAAAGCATGGCCGTGAGGGCGAAAAATTCAAGAGCATCATTATTCTTCGTCAAGATTTTGATCCTGCTATTGTTTCGCAGGATGAAGCCGAACGCCACAAGCTTAAAAACCAGAAGGCCCGTCGCGAGGTTATGTCGAAGGCCCGGAATTCACTACTGTTCACGACTCTCGGACCCGATACCTCCTGGGTTCTGTGGCTAGATGCCGACATCATTGAGACCCCTACAACCCTGATCCAGGATCTCGCCTCGTTCGATAAGCCGCTCATTGTCCCAAACTGCTTCCAGCGATATTATGACGAGGAACATAAGCAAATGGCCGAGCGGCCATACGATTTTAACAGCTGGCAAGACAGCGAAACAGCACTGGCACTCGCTGCCAAGATGGGACCCGACGAAATTCTCCTCGAGGGCTACGCTGAAATGCCAACATATCGAATGCTTATGGCATACCTGGCTGTAGAAGGCGGTGACCGTAATCTGGTCATCCCACTTGATGGAGTTGGAGGCACTGCCCTTCTAGTCAAGGCAGACGTGCATCGCGATGGTGCCATGTTCCCTCCCTTCCCCTTCTACCATCTTATTGAGACTGAGGGATTCGCCAAAATGGCTAAGCGATTAGGCTGGCAGCCATATGGTCTGCCCAATTACAAGGTCAGCCATTTCTCTGTTGCAGCCAACATCTGGCACTAATGACTTTCTACGATAGGTCTATCACTATAACGAATAACGTTGCCACGCCTTCACGAGGGCAACATGATCCATCTCCTTTTACGGCCTCTGTTTTCTAGTTCTTATGCCAAGACAAGCATGCTGCTCTGGGATTAGGACCTGAAGTAGTTGCTTAATAGCTATTGTTGGGCAAATCACGATTCAATTTGGGCGGGTACAGGTCATGGCGTTTAGCAGTGCATCCTCTGGACATTTATTGAAAAACAGAGGGGAATGGAAGCCTCGTTGCCAGAGAAAAGGAAAAGAAAAGAAAAACACCGCAATAGCTTCAGGGAAGATATCGCGCCTTTATAAAGATATGCATATTGTATTGGCTTACAAATTTCTGTAAGAACATTCGGGCATGCAATGCGAAAGTGGAGGAAGAATCATGGAATACCTTTAGATCGGCATCTGCGAGTGCGCGTGTTAAGCTGTTCAGTACAAGTTTTGGGAACATTCTCAAAAAAGTTGTCGTCTCGTGAATTTTAATATTATTAGGTACTGAGAATCATGCGATACCGCTCGAACAATAAACTCAAGAACATCTGTAAGCCCAATCTGACATGCAACTTCTTACCTAGGTGTATCAATAAACCTTCCATGCGAACCAAAACTCCATATTGTGCCACATGAATTCAAGCGTATCCCCCATCTTCAACCGGTGCAAACTCCATATGTAGCCAACATTTCAAGGCCCCTCATATCGCCCATCAGAATCCCGACACCAAAACTCGACTAGCTTCCTCGTACCAAGCACATCGCCGGAGCGTAACAAGGCCGCAACGTCCACGTTAAGTGGACTATCGGTCTCAGGGCAGCCCAGCAACATGCGCACGGCTCGAACACACTCCAAGACACTATATGCAGGTGTCCATGCGTCCTTGAGCAGGTCGAGGCAGATCTCGCCAGTTTGAAGGGCAATATTCGGGTGAACAATGGGCGTGACGAACGTCATCTTCGGTGGTGCGAGGGGGTAAGTCGATGGGATGGAAATATTGATGAGCCAGCGCCCCTCTGCAAGATGTTAGTAGATGAAGATGGCAAAATCAAGAGCTGAGCTGACCATCGTAGCCGTGGCCTATATCTCGCCCGTTGATGACGGCTTCCCACTCCATCAAGTCGCCCTCGTTGACTGGTCCAAGACGTTCGATGCCCTTCTCTATCTTTTGCTCTGTGCTCCATGTATCCAACTCCTTTATCAGTCGCCGACTTGCGCTTCGCGACGCAGCGGCTGAGTTTGATGACGATGGTGGCATTGCTTTGGCTGAATGCGATATCAGGGCCAGGCGGAGTGATGATGCGGTGAGGTATTTTTCAAGTTTAACGAGTTCAAACGGTTTGGGCGAGACTCTTGAAGTTGGAGTCGGAGTCGGAGTTGGGGATGGGACGAAGCTACAGCTGGTTGGGGTCGTGACTTATTTCGTCACGTTTTAGCTGTTGAGCTCCCCTCGGCATGCCCAGCTGGCGACTTCCATATTACAAGGGTACCTACCTAGGTCGGCCAGAGCCGAGGATGCTCGCATGTACTCCTTAGGCTGTGGGTACTTCCATGTCTGATCTGTCCAACCTTGGGTACGTACGTGGGGTTAAGCACTACCTACGCGGGAGGGGGTCTCTGAATATGACCCACAACACGATACAAGGTGCCTAACATGGCCCCCAGGCCAGCACAATATAGATATAGGTTATATATAATTTTAACCCTATTTCTTATATTATAAGGGCAAAGCCCTATTAAAAAATATATTATTTTTAGTCTTTTTATTATTATTTTTAAAAAAAAAAAACACTATATTTAAGGATATTATTATATTAAAATTAATATTACATAATGTTAAAAATATAATATAAAATAGTATTTTTTAAAATAAAATAAAAAGAGAAAATTTCTCTTTTTTAGGGAAAATTAAACCTATAATCTTATAAGTTACTTATAGTTATAAATTATAATTATACTTATTACTATAGTAAATTATATAGTTATATTTATAGTTATATTACATAATTATAATTAAAAAGCTATAATTTATAGTCTATATACTATAACCTTACCTCCCAACCTAATTAAAGGTACTTACTGCAGTTAATTAAAGGTATTTATTGCAGTTAATTAAAAGTACCCTATAGAGATATATTATAAAGTAAAATGCCCTATAATTAATATATAATATAAAGGCTTAAAATAAAAAGAAATCTTAATATAGTATTAATATATTAATATAGTTTTAACCTTTAATATAACTTACAGTATATCTAGTCTTTAGACACTGTAATCTCTAATTAAAATCCACCTGCACCCTATGTTCAAAACCCCCCCTCCTGTATAGATACCTAGGCCTCAGGGAGCAAGAAAACATCCGACCTTGATATAGGGTCTCAGAATGATCTTAGTAAAGAGCCCTTAAGCTTAGGCTAGATTTACCTAAATATTTTCATCGCTTAGGGTCAAGGTCCTGACTTTTCTTTCCTCCCCCATCTAGGTACTAGGCCCCTGGCTCCGTGCTATTAGGTACCTAAGGTACTTTGCAAATGCCAGCTCAACGGGCCAGTGGCTGTGGCAGCGTGGCTCAACCTTCGTTGCTAACGACCCCTTTCATGTGAAAATGCTGTTTGACACGATGTCGTGAACTTGGCCATGTTCAACAACAAAGATTGGGAGATGGACATATTCTGGCAGAACTAATTGATAGTCTACAAATATTGAATAGAGACGTGGATTTTCTGGAACAGAGGGATAATCTTCTCTTTTGGTCTAGCATCATAACTCTTTACTTTTTCCTTCGCCCACCATTTGCCGCAGGCTTTCGCTTGGATGTGGATGATGAAGCAGAAGTACGAGGTGGATTCCTCCTGACTGGCTCGGGCTTAGAAGGCTCAGGAGATGATTCCTCAACGACAATCTGAGCTCCACTGCCAACATCGTCGCTTGATGTCGTCTCTACTGATGCTTCTCTTTCCTCATCAGACTCATCCTCGCTCTCGCTCTCTTCCTCGCTGGACCCGTTGATTTGGCGGGATCCCCGTGATGAACGCTGGGCCCCTGAGAATTGTCTCCATGATCCAGCTGGACTAGAGGCCTGAGCGCCTGGAACCTGGAACTGGAAGGGATCAAGGGGAGCTTGACTCGAGTTCCTACCCCGACGAACAATCACAGAGCTATCAGAAGGCTGACGACTATTAGAAGGGGCCCTCACTCGACTTTGAGGTCTCTGTGACGAGGTCCCTGAGCGTGGTCGGCCGGCTGTTGCTGGTGGTGGGAAATAGCCCATGGAAGGTCGAGACGAACGGTCTTGATCCTCGGTAAGGTTGCTGTTAGAAGAAGATTGCCGGGCTCGTGACTGTGTGCGTGGTTGGCTGGAGACTGGGGGTGCTTTCTTTTTGCGCGATGACGGCTCGAGCTGGGTAAGAGGCACAGCGACTCGCTGATCTTTGCGCTTCTTGCCGCTCTTCTTCTTCTTCGCTGCCTCGTCTCTCTTCCGCCGCCGCTCCAGAGCACCCATTTCTTCCTCATTGAGATCAACATCTGTTCTTCCCTTGGCCTTTGCACGTTCGATTCTGTGCATTGCCGACTGGACCAGGGCTTCCTCCCGATCACGAACAGCCAGTTCGGCAAGATACTGTTCAAATTCCTCATCCTCACTGCTCTCACTGTCATCCTCTGAGTCCTCCGAATCCTGATAATCACCCCTTCGTACCAAGCCCCGTTCTCGATTACCCAAATCTATTCCCGTAAAACGAAGAGAATCGCTAGCAAAGCGGGTACCTGAGCTGGCACCAACACCTCGTGCATCCTCATCTGAATCCAACTCCTCCACACGAACGTCTCTTCCTTGACGTCCGCGAGACGCAGAGTCCCCGTCTGTTCTCCTCCGACTGCGCCTCGATGGTCTTCCCCATTGGGGCGCGAATTCGGGAGATTGCGGCCGACCACCTAGACCGCCTCCCCGGAAAAAGCCTCATCGATGGGCTTGTCCAAAAATGCAGCGTGACCGAGGATGGTCACGCCAGATGCGCCAATAAGCCAGAGCAGGGTAGTGAAAGGTGAAGCTATCAGACCCAGAGGAACGGCGACGCAAACGAGTGCAGTATAAAGCTGCGAACAAGAAGCACGGAAAGTGCCAATCTCGAGATCATGGCCATCGAGCTTCCCAATGAACCACATGCCGACAACTACAAGGATGATGTCGAAGAGCAGCAACCAGTTTGTGAGCAGGGCGTAAATGCTCAGCATAACAAAGATAACAGCATAGTTGCTGGAGTAGTGGCTCAAGTTGTAGTTGACGCGCGACTGCATCTCAACAAAGTTGGCAGGCTTAGAGAGACGCTTGAAGTCAAGAAACTCGCCAACGGGTCGCAAGTTGGAGAAGCGGCCGCTGAGGGGACCGGATCGAAGGCCCTGAAAGCGATCGCCGAAGTTGAGGCGGGACGTGATAACGTCGAGAGGGATCTGAATGCGAGACATGATGGCTGATTCGTGCGATAAACTCTCACAGAAAACGGTTGGTTTTGTTGGCGTGGAAAGAGTATAGACTGCTTAGCGAATCGAGTGGATGCTTTTATGGCCTCAGACTGTAGGCAACAGAATTATCAATCCGGACGAGTGACGAAAGTCAATTGCGTGTTCAGTGTGAAAGAATGGATACTCTGGCGATGAACTGAGTGAAGAAATCAGAAGTTAGCGCAAAGAAAGTGATAATGAATGCGGATTCAGGCAGCAGAGAAAAATTGAGGACAAGCTGGCAGGAAGAAATAACACATGTTAAGGGGATGGGATACGAGGCGCAGGCTAATCAAAGGGGAAGCCACAAGCTGACGAAAAGGATAAGATAACTTTGATATCTGGGTAAGTAAGAAAAAAGGGGCAAGCATACCGAGACGCAGTTTTATCAGCAATTTCGAAAAGGCTTTGAGTCCAAGAAATGAACGGAATGTTGCAAAATTATTTATTTGCACTGCGATATTGGGACAAGGGGTAGTTTGGGTAGGTAATTTGTTGTTCTGTACTACAGAGTACTGCAATGGAAACCTATCCAGGGATAAACTGGTACTGTCCAGATTACCGATAAGATTGGCTGTCCTTTTTTAGGGGCTAACTCTTTTTTTCTCCGAGACGTGATTTGCTAGAGGGACGCGTATCCTGTCAGCTTTGGCTTCCTCGCTTCAGGGCTTCAGGCTTGAGGCGTCAGGGGGTAGTCAGCCTCTCCAGCTCGGCAGGGCCAAGACTGACGGGACTGACTGTTCTCCACAGCTGAAGAGATATCTCAAAAAGGTACGTACCTCGGAACGGGATCTGCCCCAGACGTGCCCGAAGGTGAAGGATGAGGCGGTGATGGAAGGAATTCGATATTTACGAAATCTTCGGTCAGGGAGATGAGCCAGTAAAGGTTGCTGATCTCCAGCCAGTTTCAAACTGGGCTGGCAGCCCGCAACAATGCCTCTCCCCTCCGAAAGAGAGAGGCTCGACGAGTATATTTGAGCTCAATTCTTGTCGCCGTCTCCTCTCCAACCCAAACAGATGAGGTTTTATTGGAGGAGGGCCATATCAATGACTGACCTAGAAGAGAAGAAGAAGGGAAAGGGAGAGGGAAGACGAGGGAAGAAGAAAACTAAATACAAAGGCTCCAATACCTAGTACCTAGTAGTGTAGCTCCGCATTTTTCTTGCTTCACTCTTGATACCTTAGTACCTTGCCTTAAAATACCCAAGAACAAAAATAAATAAACAAAAGAGCCCAATCACGCACGACACGATCAGCATTGGATCGAATTGCACACCGCAATCCTCTCTTCTTTCCTCTTCCGCTGGGATCCGAGGAGGGACTTGGCCAGTCCGGGAGCTTGCTTGTAGCTCGTACAGCTAAAAACCGGGTTGTAACTTTTTTCCTGCTCCTCTCCAAACAACGCAGATGCAGAGCAGAGCAGAGAGGGGCCTCGCGCTTATGCACGCGACACCAGTTGCAGCAAGCCAAGTGGAAGACGAGGCGTCACCGCTACTGATGTGTGCCTCAGCGTCTTTGTCGTTGTTTCTCCGAATGGAAGAACTAACTAACTAGTACCTACGCTGGGTTTTCTGGCAAGTTTGTTGCATTAGTACTCTTTACGTACAGAGGGAGGATTGGAAGACTTGTCTAACTGTGCCATGAGTACCTAAAGTAGGTAACTCAAAGTATTCATCATTCTATCATGGAGCCTGCGAGAGGGGAACTCACAGTTAGTAAAGTAGGTACCTAGGTTTTACAGATACCATATGCAATACAACTCAGCCAATATCAGGCCAGCCCACTTCAGCAGAATTGGATCTCTCTCCATTGTACCGTTACACGATCCAACCATCATGATCCACGATCTCTCTGCAGATCCACCAACGCATGCCACTCTGCCACTCCAACCTCGAAGCTCCATTGAAAACCGTTCCGAGCTGCCCAAGCCAGCTCTACCTTGCCTTTCCATGTACTACTGTCCTAGCTCTCCAATGTTGATCGACTGATTGAAACTGACTTTGAGGCTTTGGCATGCTTTTAAGTCGGTATCTCATAAAGAAAGAGAAGAAGAAGAAGAAGAAGAAGAAGAAACCAAATTACATGGGACAAATAATTCCTGCAAGTTACAATCTAGAGTCCTTTGTACTGATACTTGGCCTCCCAGGCCTTGTCAGATCCTTCATCTTGACTTGCCCCTAGCTACGGAGGAGGACCCATTAATCCATTGCCGACCCCCGTACCCCCGGACCGCTTCCTTGGCTTGCCTCCGAATCGGCCTGAAGCCGAACGTTCTATGCCATTCAATCCCCCCCTCCACTAGAAGTTTAGAACTGATCACCATTGCATGAGTGACCGCTATCTGAGAATGAAGATGAGATCCTTTTCCTTCGGAACTCGAGGCCATCAAGTAGGTAAAAGTTTACGACAAGATCAAAGAGAAGTCTGAGCTTCGAATCAACGTATGCCATTATGAACTTTTCTCATGCCATAAAATAATATGGCGAATTCGTACTTTTACATAGGCCATATGTTAAAATATCATGTTTTAGGATACATGTAAATAAAGTAATGAGCAATGCGAATGCTATACTATCATCATGATAAAGCATAAAATATTCAGCAACATGCCCAATGTTAAATACCTCACTTATATCTGATATGTTCTTCTTCCAGCTGTATTGAGCTTGTCCAAACAACGCTCGCTATGCCTGTCTATATTGGCCTTGCCGTGCAACGATATGGGGTATATTTATGAATCGCCAAACACAATCGAACATGACAAAAGAGAAAACAATATGCTCAGCCACCTTTCGCGCTCACACTTCAAAAAAGTAATCCTCATCAAGACCTTCCCGGCTCGGTATCACTCCAGCCCCGGGCTCCGGGCCTTCAAATGCTGTGTCCATTCGGACGTTCAATAGTCGGATCTTGAGCCCGTACTCGCTCACCAGATTCACAAGCTTGTTGGTCTCCGCGGTTATGGGTGCTTGGTTCAGTAGCATCAAGAGTCCGTCCAGCCATTCCGAGGCCAGGCTGTGGCTCAGTGGCCACAAAGTAAAGATGGGCTGCTCCTTGCTATCCGTTCCCCTTGCCGCTTCCGTTGCGTTTACGAAACTGTAGACGGTGATCTTGGTTGTTGTCTTGGGAGTTGCATCCTTGCCCATCAAATCACTCATGGTGCTCCGGGTGTCTTCGTTGGGCGCCGAAACATTGGACACAACAGAGCTGATAGTACTGAGATCGACCTTTTCACCCAATGAATCCAAGCCGGGCGCCGTTACTGTCCTTTCCTCGAAGTCGGCGTAGTGTAGATACCGTCGGTTATGAGAGAGTTTTGCATATCGCCAAGGGGTAGGTGTGAATAGTCTGTGCTTCACTGCCCCATTGTCTCGCTTAGGTGCCGGCTTTGAGAACCAAGATCCTTGTAGGAGGCATCGAATTCGCTGCTCCTTGACGAATTGCAGAGCCTCTTGTTTCAGCTCTTCCCTCACTTGTTGTAGGTGCTGACCCCATGTGCTCTCAAACGACATTTCCAACAGGCACATTTGCTGCTCTCGCAGTCGCGGTACGTCGTACTCCTGCATCTCTTCTTCCACCTCGGCCACATCCTTGGTCCTTGTAGCTCCTCCGACAACGCAGTCGATCAAAATTCTAACCAGCTCGACCACCTTTTCAAAGTCACCCTGTTCCGCGCCAGTGAGTTTCCAGACACGGAAAAAGGCATACAAGCCGGCAGTGTGTAGCCGAGACCACTGGAGGAGTAGGGGTCTGAATAATCTGTCGTGATCTTTGGCCTCCAATAACTGGTAGCCCCTGACATCATCCAGATCCGTCTTGTCCACGTCGAAGTGGTCGTACAGTATCATTGTCACAGCGAAACTGGCCCTGGCCACGGGGCAGCGCTCAGGTGTAGGCTTCCCTGCCTGTTCGAGCAGCAGCTTCTGAAATCCATCCTCATTCCTGCGGACGTAGTCGCTCAGGTCCATCATACCCAAGAAGCCAGTCATATCGAACTCCTGTGCCGGACTCTCCGTCTCGAATCCCAGTCTCCTCCATTTTTCTGGATTGTGCCGCCGGCTGCCCTTCTTCCCTGGAGCCTCGTGCGACTCTTGTCCCGGGGAATGTCCGTTTACGTGAGCTCGCTCCGGTGCACTCGCCAGATGAAGTCCCTTGAGAGCCCTTCGGTGCTCGGGTCGCTCGAGATCAACATCGACTTCGCGCCACTTCCTCAAAAGAATTTTGGTCAGTGTTTGAAACTCCAGCATGGGATGTGCCAGGTCCTGAAGCGCAGAACTTTGCATGAGCCTGTGAACTGCCTTAATCAGCCCCAAGTCTTGTAACCGCTTGATGAACTTGGCCCAGTCCTCTCCTGAACCCGCGTTGGCCTTTCCACCATTTGTTGTACTCTCGCCCGATACGGCGTCTCGGATCAGGGCGTTGATCAACATCAGTGCATTGGCACATAGGGCATGATCTGCGCTCTGCAGCTGCTGTATAACCAGCTCGAAAAAGTTCGGGTGCACAGCCACGGCGGGTTTCAGGGCGCGGAAGCCAAAGGTTCCTGGTGTTCGGTTCGCGACATCACTTTGGTTGGTAGACTGGGAATGGCCAACGAGTGCGACCAAGATAGACATGGCTCCTCTGAGGATGTTGACAAGAGGGTTTGTAACGATCAATTCGACGACACGCTCGACGAGATCGCTTGCAGTTGGGCCCTCAAAGATATCCCATCCCATATCGACTTCCAGCAATCGGGTAAGACTTTGAAGAGAGTATGCGAGTGTGTTGCCAGCAGATGTCATGATGAGTCGACGGAGGACGACTAGACCGCCCGATGATATGAAAACATCGGCAAATGCTGGATCATTAATCGAGTTTTGCAGTTTAAATACTGCCATCTTGCGCGAAGCATCTTCATCACTCGCCATTCGCGCCAGCAGCGCGGGGATGTCTGCTTGATCCATGGTCGAGGTATTGGTCCTTTAGGTAAACAAACAGAGAGAGAGAGCGGACAACAAAGACCTTATGATGTTGCTGTCATTGCCCGACGATGCATATTAAGAAAACAATTGTGTATGTTTCATATGTGGGTTCGGCGATCAGACTGTAGTTACGTCGTATGGTTGAGAGTATAGGAGCAGGAGATCACCTGGCTGCGATTGTGTTGTGTTTCGTCCCCTTAACCTTAACTAAGAGGTCCTGAACAAAGACCCTGTCGAAATTAAACCAATTGCCACAAACTGTTTGGGGGAGCTCTCCACACTAACTTGGACTTTAGCCTCCCGGAGCTCTTCAGGAGAGGCTTGCGTCTCAGGCTGATGAAAAGGCTAGAAAGGGTATTGAATCAACCCTGTCAGAAGAATAGCGCTAGCCTTTAGTCAGGTGTGGGATCTGTGGCGGCGAGGCTTACCAAGCCACAGACCGGAAGGCTGGAGTCTTCCATTGCACGTGAGAAGGTACGTACCTCGACAAGCATCTTCGACGCCTGCAATTGATTTCCATATTCGATCTCAAATCCTTTCCAAGCCTTCATCAACTTGCTGTCGCCTCGTTTATCTACTGTCCAACAGAACCGCAACAATGGCCAACTTTCTTGCCTCAATCTTCGGTACAGAACTCGACAAGGTCAACTGCTCTTTCTACTTCGTAAGTCCTGAAACGCGTCTCAGTCGCAAGTCCAGATTACTGACTCTGTCCGCGCCCACGTAGAAAATCGGTGCTTGTCGTCATGGCGATCGCTGCTCGCGAAAACACGTCAAGCCTTCGTACAGCCAAACGATCCTGATGCCCAACCTCTACCAGAATCCGGCTTACGATCCTAAAAATCGAATGAATCCTTCTCAACTACAAAACCATTTCGACGCCTTCTACGAGGATATCTGGTGTGAGCTTTGCAAATACGGAGAGCTGGAGGAGCTTGTTGTTTGTGACAACAACAATGATCGTAAGTCGTCATCTTTCCCAAACTCTCTGTAGTCTTCCTATGCTAATTTCGAATAGACTTGATCGGCAACGTCTACGCCCGCTTCAAGTACGAAGAGTCGGCACAAAAAGCTTGCGATGAGCTCAACAGTCGATGGTATGCTGCGCGCCCGATATACTGCGAACTAAGCCCTGTCACCGACTTCCGCGAGGCTTGTTGCCGACTTAACTCTGGAGAAGGGTGTGTTCGAGGAGGGTTCTGCAATTTCATCCACCGGAAGAACCCTAGCGAAGAACTCGATCGCGATCTGACTTTGAGCACAAAGAAGTGGCTAAAGGAGCGTGGTCGTGATGAGAAGAGCGCGTCCCGCTCACCTACACCTGAACCCACAAGACGTCGCTACTAGTGGCTTGTATACTGGTACTGTGTGGTGAAGGGCCTTCGATGGCAAGAAATGCAATTTGGATGGCACGGTCACGGCGTTATAGGGGCTGGGGATTTGTTCTAATAGTTTTAATGTAAGGATTCTTGGGCGATTCAACCATTACGGATACCCCTCCCTTCATCAAATATATCTCAAAAAGAATATTGCAGTAGTCACCTGGCGGAGGCCGGTGTTGAAACCCTTCTGACTCTTTGTAAACCCACGGAGAATGCAAAACCCCGTGTATAACTAATTCCGATGCGCGCCAATGTTGATGTAGCCTGCCTATTCCCTGCTTCTGTCTTAGTCCAATTGTTCCCAGGCAAAGTCAGTCCTCACTGCCTCGTTCCATATCTTGACATAACTGATATTCATTTCTTCATCGCGTTTTATTGTTGTGTGGCAGATGGTAGCTCCTTTTTCAGATCGTTTGTGAAGTCAATCAGTGGTCCGTCGGCTTTCTTTCCTGTGGAGTTGAGCAAGCCTTGGATCTCAGATTGCTTTGTTGCTTGTTCAGCAGCGGGTGTCTGATCCGGCTTAGCAGGCGGAGATATTTCGTCAAAGTTGATGAGGTTATCGTCGATATGATTCTCTACCGGTTGAGCTGATGCTGTTTGCGCAGGCTTGGCAGAAGGACTGTGCGGGGGGATGACGTTTCGTTGGTTCGGCTTTTGTCCTTTGACGACGGGATAGATTGCCATAATTTGCTCAGCTTGCTTCTCAGGTGTCGCCGCATGATCACTGGATACGTGTTAGTGAAATGCCAACTGAGTAAGTTTGCCAGCACTTACATGTTGGCGTTAATGACCCATTCCAGATCTTCTTCGCCTTCTTCCAGTCCACCGGGACCACCTTGGACTCTCCTGAATAGTCGTGGGTGCCATTCGATGTTTTCCTGTGCTCGTTGGGCAGCTTCTTCACGTTGTCGGTCTTCAATCTTGGTCTTCTCGTCTGTGGCAAGTTCATGGTTGCGGTCCTTGACAGCTCTAGCCGTCTTATCCCAGAGTCGCTGAGACTCTCGTTCCTCTTGCTCCTCGATTGGTCGAACAGTTGGTGGTGAGGGCTTTGATCTCAGAGCGTTGAAGAACATCTCTCGGTGACCAGTCTAATCATATTAGCTAAAAATGAGCTTGGGTTGTAAGTAGGTGTACCGACCGTCATGTCTTTGATGTACATCTCCTCACTCCAGAGGCCAGAGAGCTCAAACAAGACCTCGCCAGTGCTCTCACGCTTGATCACTCCGCCAATGGCATTATAAGTACCACCGACCCAGCCTTTTGTTTTGAAGTCGACATCAGCAACCAAGTCGAGTTCAGGGCATCGGACAAAGCTATGATCGCCGAGCTCGTACTTCATTTTGCCAAACAGAATGCCTCGGGCATACATGTTGGGTTGGGTGAGAATACTGCATCCTGTTAGAATACATACGATGAATACGCACTGCAGAGCCACATGGCCATGCAAGAGCTGAGTGCGTAGGGTCAACATACTATTGCTCCCCTTTTGCAGCGTCCTTTCCGCGGTTCAGCAAACTTAGAAATGCAATACCTTCCATCAGACTGGCGGCAGAATTTCCCAGGAAACGACTCCGAGGCTTGAGTGTTCCGTCAATACGAATGTGGTGGTCTGGGGCCATGTAGAAGTAACTCGACTTGGGCGGGTGGTGGGAAGTCTGTTCAGAGATGTAATATGCGCGCTTTCCATCTTCAAAATCCCAGTAACAGGTGAAGATCTCACCCAAGATAGGGTTCAAGGGTTTCTTGACGCCTCTACAGATTGTCAGTAACCGGCGCATCGACATCAACAAGCACAAACTCACGGAGGACGAATATGCCAACCACTGAGGTAGAACTTGACTACGGATACAAAGCGCTCGACGGGGTCGTCTATGGATGGAATTTGAAGGAGCATTTCGGGGTGACACATGAAGCTGCAGCCAACAAGTTAACCTCTGGTTTTCATGACTTAGACAGGAGAATTCACTTCGTGATGCGCTCGAGCATACTGCGGGGTTCGAGAATGAAGGTGGGAAGAACGACACGACTCAGGTCGGCCCCGGGTCGCAGCTGGGAGATAATATGGGAGAGGACTTGAAAACATCACGATAGTCAGTCCAAAGTCGAAAGCCTGAGGAGGTCGGTTTGAGTCGCAATCGCACCGTTACTGCGAAAGTCGACGCAACCTGCAACGAAGGAGGGGCTCACCATTGCCCTGATCGGGCTCCATCACTAGGGTGTCATCCTCAGCGTCGGGACCACGAGGGTCATCAGTAGAGGAGCGAGTGCCTGCAGGTTGCGAGAACCAGTTTGTCAACATAGCGACTCTTCAGCGGCCAAGAAGAGAAATAAAAAGATATTTTTTCCCCAAGAAAAATATAAGGGATTTTGGAGGGGTGCAGATTTGGGAGGGGCAAGAACAGAACTCAATCAATAACTGTAAGGTCAGGGATAGGGACAGGGACGGAGGATTCGGATTTGCTGGGTGGGGATCCAATGTGAAAGGATGTGGGTGAGTGAGCGATTGAACCGAATAGTGACCAGAACAGAACAGAAGGGGGGCCGTCCTTCACTAGAGCTCCAAGCTACCACGACCTATACCGATACTGCAGCCTCTAGGTGACGTCTTGAACAAGGGAGACGGCAACGCAAATTCAGTGTAGCAAGCGGAAGATTCCACGGGGTCGATTGCACATTGAGCCGTCGCAAGAGGCTCCGATTCTTTATAGGACGAGAAAGAGGATAGGCAAACTCACTGGCGGTGCTGCCGGTCCTGCGGCGTCCATGAGAAACAAGACCCATGACCATTGCTTCTTGCTGCTAGAGGCTGCTGCCTGGGTAGGGACGTAGGTTTGCGAACGGTTTTGTTTGCTGAGGCTCTCAAAGAATATCGATAGCTATGGGATACAACCAGATGAACGTAGAGGACCACAGTCCTTTATTAGAGGCGCAATGCGAGCTTTGTTGGGCTGGGTGCGGGGGCCTATATGATGTAGGCAGACAGACAGGCAGTCACAACGTTCAGAGAGCTCAAGCTCAAGTGGAGCTTGAGAAATAGCGATATCGTTTGCGAGCGGTGGTTCAACGGAGGTGACGAAGTGAGAATAATAATTGCTATGGAGTATAAAGCCGAGTTGAGCAGGGTAATGTTGGATTGGATTGGATGGGGGGAGAAAAAGATATTAAGAAACGGCGAGGCAGTCAATCACCAAAGATTAGGTAGGTAGATATCTGGGCAGGTAGGGAGAGAAGAGGGCAATAGCTATGGCAATGACGGAACGGATGGCCCGGTATTGACAAAAACGGCCTTGAAATGACCAGAGTGACGCCAGGGGAGGATGGGCACTGAGAGGATCACGTTTCTGAACACCTTCCAAGGCAGATTAGGATCAGTTAGGTAGTGCAAGTAAGGTAATGATGGCAAGTGGCGGCATCAACCATCTGAGCAGGCATCGAGAAGAAGACTACCCTACCGTAGGTGCCTATGTAATAAAGATCCAATCATTTCCATGAACCAATCCATCAGATCTGCCCCGCGATGGAGAAGGATTATCTTTGCGTTGACCAGGAAGTGGGGGCTGAAGTCTGCCCTGACTGCCAAGGAAAAACCCTGAAGAGTGAATATGTCCCGAATGGAATCTGTCATGAGGTCCTTGTGTTTGTATACTCCCCTGCCTGTGTAGTTAGAGTCAATATGGGCATCTCCCTCTTATTAATTAGTGTCTGTCGTAAAAGATTGTAGCATAGGAGTTGATACTAGGTAAATATTCTCTCGTCGCAAGCTGAACCGCACTGGAGCTAACAGGGAGCTTGGCTTGAACTACGTCAGAGCCATGAGCTCACACACACCGACCATTCCAGCCCAGCGGGAACGTCACGCAGTCGAATCAATGCTGACTGTACTGTACCACAGTGAATGATATCATCCACACTGCACTGGAGGGAGGGAGATCTAACAAGTACCTTACCGTACCGACCCAAACAAGGAGTGGTTGTTTTCAAGACGTTCGTTCATTAAAGGATTCATTACTCGCAAATTATAGATAATCAGCACGCTCACCGTATAAGTGGGTGAGCGATTAAAAAGCCAAATGGCTGCCATCTCACATGTCAAGACTACTAACTAATGTAAACGAGTCCAGTCAACAACCTGATACTCCAAGCTACCTAGTACGTACGTACTAACATCCTCGTATTGTAACGATACGAAACGCCTGGCCCAATCACGACGACAGCTATCAAGCTTCGGTCCCACTCTGCCCGGGTCCCTCTAGACCCTTTCTTCTTAAGGCTGAGGCTCCTCCGGGCTTGGGTGGATGCGGTAACTACTGGTAAAAGCCTCCTAACGGTGCAGCATAATTCGTCAACAGTATTTTAATATTGTTGTCTCTAACGACTGACTGCCTGCATACCCAGTCCATAAGAGTATGACCTGCTCTTGGTTGCTCCATTTCTCCTTACCATCCAAGCCATAATGGATGAAACATCTACTCGTAGAGTGGTCTATCTACCTCTGGTTCTCACCCCCTCTCCTCTTGGTATTCAATGATATGATAGAACATTCCCACATAAAAATATAAATAAAAGAGAACAAAAGCGATGCGGCTTGCTTCAGGTGATGATTCGCCGAGGCCGGCACTTCCGACCAGGTCAAACTGAGGTATTATCGTGTTCGAGCCGACCCATCAATCATTCAAGATTTGCTTGGGGCTTTATTTCAAATATAGCCCATATACAAGTCCAACTCCTTTCGTTCTTGCGATTTCGGCTTCTCGATGTCTCCGTCGTCCGGGAGTACCGATCTAATTCGACCCGTTGCTCTAGCTGTTCCATCAGGTACGGGTTTCGGACTCTTGTGGTATCCCGGACCTCCGATTTGTCTTCCTCACGGCAGTCGAGCTGCCGCGATATCCCTTACTCATTGGCAGTTCCGTTCTGGGTATAAAGAATCTCATCTCGGCCTTTTGTTCGATTTCAGAGACGCATGCGTCTCACGGCCATGCTCTTCAATGACGGTTCATTTCTTTTTTGAACCTTTAATTGGTGCCGGTAAGCACTGCGCCAGCGCGTCTCGGTCTATTCATTGTCAGCATTGCCCAAGTTATTATTCACTATATTCACTAACCTGATTCGTTCTCAAACAAAATGGAAATATCATCATGCTCGCCTGGTAAATCTGGGAGGTCGAGGCAGACAAATGCCATGTCGTCGTAGTCGCCGTCTTTGTCTGCTGGTAGTCGTGGTAGAGGGAACTTGGCGTCAACAAACTTGATACCACATTTGCTACTTCGTTGTACACTTTCGTAAACGTCGGTCCCCTTCAAGAGGAAGTTCATGCAGTGGCCGTGATGGAAGTCCTCGAAGAAGGCCAGCAGCTGTAACTGTTTGTCTTCCTGTCGTATAACCTGGATTCGGGTATATCCTGCTTCCCATTTTTTGTGAATTGGTACAACCATACGACGTCGCTGGATGGCAAATGTGACTGCGAGGGCATCGAAGATCACCTCGAACCCCGTCATTGCATATTGGAAATCGTGCAGGTCCTTCAAATTATTGAACTCGAACGTTCGGATCGTTTGGTTGTGTCGAAGCAGCTGCAATGCATCAGACATGTTCCTGGGGAGCTCTTTCGGCACCTGCGCCTCAGAGACCGAGATAGTCATGTCTTTTTGTGGTTGCCGAAGAACTCGAAAGACTTTAGCGTTGCTCACTTCCAGCCTAACACGTAACTCCCCAGGTGCCACATTGATGCGATCAGCAACATTACCATTCTGGTAGTCTATTACAACTTTGAGGTGATCGGCCAGTACTGTTGGGGGCATCTCTCCGCCATACTCATCATTGACCACCCTCACGGCCTTCCAAGGCATGCGACTGAATGGAGCCATACCCAGGGGTTCACGGAGGCTTTGAGCCACAGAGAAGTTCTTGAGTGGCACGTCTGAGTAAATCTTCTCGTCATGATCCAGAGCGGTTCCGGTAAGAATCGAGTGAAACTTGATTCTTGCCTTATCATCACTAAACACCATCACCATGCGTCCCTTGGATTTGCCATTCTCATACTTGATAGCCAAAGACGGAGCATCGCCATCACCACGAAAGAATCCGAACTGTACAGGCTGAGCTGGGGAATACACATGTTGAACACCACTCAGTGTCCTTGTCTTTGGTCCAGTCACCACCGCGATTCGGAAACCAAGATGCCATGTACGAGTAGCTGCGGGGCCGTTCTCCTTGTAAAGCTTCTCAAAAAGCGAGATCTCACAATACGGTGTCGGCTCTTTGGGGAATTGACGATAGTTGGGGTCTGCATCCATGACCTGGAACGACCGCAATGTTGACCTGAATACCATGCTCTCATCACTTCGTGGATAAAGGGAGTTGTTGACCTTGCTTCCAAAATCGTACATGTTCCACAGTGTTCTAAAGTCTTGCTGAACAAGTTGAATGGTCAACATGAAGCCACGTCGTAATCGAATGTCGACTGTGCATGTTTCCTTTCGCCATCGCACATCGTCCCAGATTGGACCAACATTCTTATTCTCTTGAATGACAAGCTGTACGTGACCGTTCTGACTGGCGAGGATGAAAACAAGCCCGGTAGACTTCTGCGGACGAACCATTGAGAGCAAACACGGAAAGTAAAGTTTTTGGTCTTCATGGCCTTGTTCCATAAGATAGGCATCAGCTGGCACTCTGCCATAGTTAAAGTTGTCGGTAGTATCGCCCACAGGAAGAGAATCAAGAAGCCTCAACTTAGACATCGGGCTTGTCATCGCTGTGAGACCCGAAGCCCAGTTGCCAGAAAGAAGAGCAATCATGTCTTGGCTCAGAGGTGGGTAATCAACCCATATCGACTTGTCTATGCTCTGTGGTAAAAATGCATCTTCAGGAGGCAAGAAGCCGTTACGTTTCATAGACATGGCCAGCTTCTTAAGCGCTGAGACCAGACTCGTGCTCACGTCGTCGACTTCGGGATCAATTTCAATCCCCTGCGCTTGTGCAATTTCTGGAATTACAAGCTCGCAAAGCCAGAATGCTTTGGCCAAATTAGCATATGCCTGCTGGCGATCCCTGTCGTTTTGCATCTGGCCCTGAGGGGAATTGGGCCTTTCCCGGATTGCGACCTCCAAACCCATGCGACCTTTGAGAAACCACCATAGTGCGCCACGGCCGAATTCAATCAATGAACAGGTCGACAGAGGCTTCACGGATTCCGCATGGAGGCGAAAGAGCTCAAAAAGATGGCTTGTCCTGGAGGTGAATGTCTCAAGGGCTTGCTCAGCAGCGGCAGAAGTACCGTCAGCGACTCTTACAGACAACGCTCTAGAAGCCATCATGGGAGGAGCACGCTGCGGCGCGATGCTCGGTTGCCTCGACAATTGGTTGACTTCTGAGGTTGGAGTAGAGGTTGCAGAAACCGCAGTGGGAGCTGGAGCCTGAGCCCCAGAGGCTGACCCAGATAAGCTAGGAGCAGAGGCTGGAACTGCAGCTGGGGGCGCGGGAGGAGAATACGAGGATGAGTTGGAATGGAGAGAAGCTGCAGGACTGTACTCGAGGCTCGGTTTCGAGGCCTGAGCTTCGGGAGATGGGGGCCCTCGTCTTCGAGATTCAACTGGTGAAGACGAAAGAGGCGTGGCGGAATGAGGATCGTCCCAATTGTGTGAGGATGCAGAGGTAGCACTGGCTACCCGAGCAGCTTCAGCAAAGGCCCTGCCTTCTGCCTCTCGCTGCTGTGCAGAATGAATCTCGATATATGACCTCCTATTCTCATCTTGTCTTGCTGCTGGACCCAAAAACCTCGCGCCTATTGGTCTCCCTGGGCTAAGTGAGTGCTGCTGCGCAGATACAGGTGAGGCCAGCTCGTCTGATTTAGAATTACGGTCAAGTCCAGCCTCAGACTCTTCGTCGGAATCGGGAGTGTAAATTGACGAGAAGCCTGTTTGGGTTCGAGACAAAGGCTTTGGTCGGAAATCGTCTACGGGTGAGCCTGAAGCAGCTGAATCAGGAGGAGGGGGTCGTCCTGGTGGCATTGGGGCTCTGCGATGAGCAGGAGGTTGTGGTGGTTGTGATACTTGCGGTTGTTGCGGTTGTTGCTTGGGACGGGCTACTTTGCGCTTCGAGATCTCTTGAGTAGGTATCTCGGACTCATCACCTCCTTCGCCAATTATTTCGGGGGCAGTATCATCAAACCTAACCGTCAGACCTTTCTTGTTGGGCCGTGGGCTTCGTCTCGGTGACTTTGTGGTATCAGGTCGACCTGCGACGAGAGGACGGTTTTGCTGGGCTGCATGATTAAGTCCTAAAGCTTGAGGATAACGAGAGATGGATGTGGTATCGAGCTTGGCCAGCTTTGGAAGCGACGACGGCGGGGGAGGCGGGGGAGGGTTTGTGATTGTTAGATTGTCTGAGGAGCTGTGGAGGAATGATTCGACATTGGCAGCGGACCGCGCTTCTTCACCTTTGCGGTCTTTGGCACCAAACAGCTTGCCCATAAGGCGGTCTCTCCTCGAAGATCGCCCATCAGGGACCTGGATGGTAGGTATGTCGTTCTCCATGGGGGATATAATGCGGAAGGGAAGCGAAAGGTTCAGCACACCGACATTGACCCAAAGAGGAGAAACTGAGAGTTGAGTCGAGGATAGTAAGCACAGAACGCCTATCTATGTCTTTGCAGGAACGGAGAGACGTGGTTCCTGGTCGCTGTCACCTCTACTGGAACGGTTACAGGACGGTACTGGAGCAGTAGAGATAGTGGAGTCGTCCAATGAGGCAGGCTTGTTTCTGGCGACACGAGGAACAACCGTCGGACATGTGGGGATGTAGGCGGGCGGTTCTATCTGGTGGCGCTTGACGGTTGGCCAAAGGTCAAAGCAGGTCGTTGATGAGTTCTTTGTGGCGAGTTTGACAAAGGGGTCGTCGAGAGTTAGGGGATATCTGCGATAAGCAATCGTGGGCGGAGTTGAGGTGCAAGTGAGCTAAGGTAAGGTACCTGGCTGTTGGCAATGGCTGCGGGTGGTGTACCTCGATATGGCGGGGAAGATGGAGGTGAGGCGTTGTGTGCTGCTTCGATGCAGGCCTCCAGATCGAACAAGAACCGAGAATATTAACTGGGTAGGTAGGTAGGTTGGAAAGGAAGGAAAAGGAAGTGCACCAGATTCATAGAGATCAGACATGCAATGGCCAATCCAATCTTTGTACGTGTATGTATGTACAACCACCCTCTGGGCTCGAATGTTACATACAGCAGAACGTTGGGCAGATGGGAGAACACCCTCGGCCGGGGATGAGACCGTGTGTACCTACTGCGTTTGCGCTGCGCGATTCTACTACGCTACGCTACGGCTCAAGTCAAGTGCACAGGCAATTCTCCTTTGTCGCCAGGGCACCAACTCAGGCTCCAGTTGCGGGCAGGGGAGAGCACGAGCAGGGATGGGCTGAGCAAGGATGAATGGTAGAGGGAGAATGTGCCAAGAAAGGGTCTTTTCTTCCCTTCCTACCTTATTTCCTCGTACTTGGTCTGGCCAGCGGCGGCTCCTCTGTCGTATAGAACGAATTGCATATAACGAAGGATGAGAAAGCGATGTGGCTGATTGGATCACCGAATACAGATAGTCGACAAGGGAGTACCTACTAGGCACTAACAATGCCGACTCAACACCAAATATTAAAGACAAAGTGTTACTGTAGAGGATGGAACAGAAAGATGAGGTCAGAAAAGAGAGGGGAGGTGAATTTGTGACAGGCCGGGTATGTGTGCCTGACTTTGCTGAAGTCCCCATGAGCGATGATCCAGGGGAGTTTCAGAGTCACAGGGATCAACATCAAAGGGCAGCAAGTGAGTGGTCCCTGGTTGGTTGGGCGGCCAAGTCAAGACCAAGTTACCTGGCAACAGTTAAATCAAGATCCATACCGAACATTCATCATCAACACGACAATTGCGGTACACGAGTTATTTAACGCGCTTCGCAAACGTAAAATCTGGAAATCGCCAACGTGCGGCTAATAGGTCCTAATAAGGTACTGTACTAATATATATGGACTGTCGAGGTATTCTCTCTCCAACGCTGTCCGTAGGGCAAGATACGTCGATAGTGTCAGCTCCGGTCAATCTTTGCCGTGTACTCCGTACCGCACAATGAACGAGATTTTACAGTGACGAAGTTTGGGCATATCGACATAATTACTAGTAACATACGAATAATGGCTCTCGCCACAAATTACCCTGCCAGACCACCTGACTCCCCCTTCAGAGTCATCATGCTATCATCCTGGATACTGGAGATTGTGAAGGTGCAGAACGAGACCCTTAATTCGATTTCCCCATCCACTCCAGACTCATCAGCCTCCACTCACACTCATTAGGCACTTGGTGTCGGCCGTGTTAGTGGCTGATCGACCTATGGTTGCGCAAGCTGTTCATTGCTGTGCCGAGAGTGATGACGAGACCGTTTCCCTTGTGAAGATTCCAATCAGATCTGCCCTCGCAGCGCTTCCCGATTCGGTAGCCTCCCTCGTGTCTGAAGGACGAATAGGGCTTTGTCCGCGTGTGGTCCGAAAGTTCGAGGATCAAACCCCTAACTAATCCTCTAGGGACAAGTGCGCAATGGTGGCTTGTGAGTGCCGGGCTGAAACACACAGGTCCCCTCAGACTATCGGCTACGGCCGTAGCCCGTTATTCCACCGTCCAGAACATCGGAACGTCCAATGTTTGGTATACAGTAATGTAGTTACATTTACCCACTGAAGCTTGACTGGATATGTCGCAACTCTCACGATGTCTCCCTTCACTTGTCAAAATATCTCACTGTCATTTCGTCTTGGGGAACATTCTGAACTACCCCTTGATGTTTCTCCTCATCAAATCTCTCGAATCGGATCTTGTTTGTACTAGCTTAGCTCAGGTAAGGTCTTGCAGGCGTTGTATCAAATCCTGCCAGTAAGTACATACTCGGAAACTACATAGAGGCTAGTGCTGTACTAACTTTAGCATCTCAGGCGGGTGGTTGGATTGGATGGAACGTGGGGCTGGGCTCTTGGAGGCCCCTCTGTTGTGTATGTATGATTCATATCCTTTCCTTCATCGAGTTCTAGTCTCTTCTCAAGACTTTGTGTACGATATAGGACCTTCGTAGGTAATCTGTAGCCGGCTGAGGGAAACGTATGTATGCGCTGGCGTACTATGTAACTTGATCTAATAGGTAGGAAATTTATAGTTGTGTAGCGATTCAAGGCATGATGAGATCGTGATCGCATTGGTTCATTTCGTGTCCCAGTCGCTCACTTATTTCCTCTCCATACTACCTAGTAGCTTGTTCGCATGCAGTTCTCGTATATCGTTAGCTTCCCAAATTCTCCGCGACGATAAATAGCAGCTCTTCAAGCGTCACTCCGAGCCGAGGCGGTTCTCTTTTTAGACCTCGTATTGCAGACTGTGTCCGCAAAGCTTATGTCCAGCAGGAGCGTGCTACATGCTCCCTGTCACAGTACGTGCATTGATGGCATGGCGCCTGAAGTGATATTGCATTGCCAATACATTTCTCAGCGAAGAAACCGCGATAACACAGTATAATCAAGCAATGGTTGGTATGAATGCAGATATGCAATTCCAACTCGGTGGAGTCTGATCTAAGACCAAGTAAACAATAAATAAAATGAATTTGTCTCCCTGTGGAACTTTCAATCTATCAGCCTTGGCCGTGAGATTTGTGTCCAGGTGTGTAAGAGAGAAATAAATACATTGGTCAAAGTCAAGCTTTCTGACCAGACTCTCCTGAAACGTGTAGAGAGATAAATCTGTATGCGTGACCTTGCATGCGATGGTTCGCCGTCGAGATAGATTTGATAGTCAAACGTTTCAAAGGCCCGTAATGATACATCCTTGCTCGCGATTCACGCTTGAACAGAGCAATAGTCATCTAACATCTGCATGTCTCAATAACATGGTCATCACATATTCCAGTCTGCCAAAGTCTCTTACTACTTAGATCATCGTTCTCATCAGCCCTCGATTTAGGTTAAGCCAGGTTGCGCATGTTCCATGTGATCTTATCGATAAGAAAGTCTGTTGATGACTAACAAAAATCGCCTCCATTCACATTCTGTGAAGAATTTATACAGCTAGTCACTGTCCCAAACGGCAGAAGGATGTAAACGGTTGCCAACCAGGCATGCTCACGCAGATAATCCGACGAACCATGGCTACAGAAGTCAAGCGAGTACCCATTCCCCGACGGGGTGTAGATTACCGTGGCAAGGTTGTTCTTGCGCCTATGGTTCGCTCAGGAGAGCTTCCATCAAGACTTTTGGCTCTCAAGTATGGCGCAGATCTTGTCTGGGGTGAGATGCACAGCAAAAATATGTCAAGATATCATTTTCTAACTCCAGCCGACAGGTCCTGAAACTGTGGATTACTCTATGATTGGAACTTGTCGTCGATTTGATGAAGACTCAAAAACGATAGAGTGGTATCGTCTCTCATCCCATGGCCAGAAGGACCCTCCTTCGGATGCCAAGGAGAGCATAATTTACAGAATGCTGCCAGAGGTTGAAAAAGACAAGCTTATCTTCCAAATCGGCACATCAGATCCCGATCGTGCAGTAGCAGCCGCTAGGCTGGTGGCCGCAGATGTTGCCGGCATTGATGTCAACGCTGGTTGCCCAAAGCCCTTCAGCACTAGCGGAGGAATGGGTGCCGCTCTTCTCAAGACTCCAGATAAACTGTGCGCTATTCTTGAAGCTCTTGTTAAAAACATTACCCCTGAATTTGAGATTGGAATAAGCGTTAAGATCAGACTCCTCGACACCGCGGCGGAAACAGAGACGCTCGTCCGCCGTCTTTGTGCGACAGGCATTACAGGACTAACCATCCATTGCCGGACGACACCTATGAGGCCCAGAGAGCGGGCTATTAGAGGGCAACTCCGTATGATTGCGGAAGTCTGCCATGAGTATGGTGTTGCCTGCTTGATGAACGGCGACGTTGAGGATAGGGACCAAGGTCTCCAGCTCGCCAAAGAGTTCGGTGCGGACGGTGCAATGATTGCAGTTGCGGCTGAGAAGAACCCAAGCTGCTTCAGGAGTGTAGCAGATGGCGGAATGGCACCCTGGGAAGAAGTTGTCGATCATTATGTGAAGACTGCGATTGATGTTGACAACCGGTTCGGTAACACCAAGTTCCTGCTCTCAAACATGGTCCCTGGAAAGTCAAAATCTTACCAGCCAATGAACCAGTCCAAGAATTATAAGAGCATCTGCAAGGCGCTATCACTCGAAAAACACCTCGAGTCCGCTCGTATTATAGATAGCAAGCGAGGGCTGGATCAGCCCCTGCAGGGGAAAGCTGCAGAGAAGGCCGCAAAGAGGGCTGCAAAAAGGGCCAACGCACAGGCCAATTCACTGCCGGTGAAGCCAGAAGAAGAAAATGAACAGAAGCGCAAGCGGAGAATGTCTGATAACAGACCCGTGAAGCAGTTGAAGACATCTGAACCTGCACCAATTGCAACGGCTGTTTAGGAAAAGGGTCAGTTCGACGGTACAAAGGTGAGGAAATGACAAGGGGCGTACGGTTGAATTAGAAACCTTGGGTTCGCATTACATGGAGTTGAGGACAGAGGCTCAGAGGGCAAGGGTTTGGGAACAGAGCACATAGAAAGCTACCGCATCATTAGGTCATGAAGGAATAACGGCGGCAAGGAATGCTTTTCTTTGTCATGCAAAAAAGGAAAGGAAGCCCAGCCTATTCAAAATACATACAGTTATTGGTAGCTGGCACTAAGGACCGGCCATTGATACAAATGAACAGTTTTTGGGAACTCTATTTAATAGTACATCTCATTTCATCTCGCTTTTTGAAATCCTTTATTTGCCCTTCTGGACCCAGCCCTCAACAGCCTCTCGTGCATCTGTCACTTTTTCATCTACATACCGGACACCAACCTGGCTATGCGCCTTGGCAAAGCTGACGCTGTTGACGATACTCTCGCGCAGGCGGATGTGAGACTCGGCAATAACAGGGAACCTCTGCTCGTACTTCCAGGTCAGGTCGGAGATGTTGCGCATGGTGACAGGGAGAACGGTCCAGCCAGCGCCGATACCCAGGGCAAGGGGGAGCGAAGCGCGAAGGATAATGCTGCGATTGCGAGTAATGATACTGCCGGCCATAGCAGCAACCAGAACGTAAATGGCACCGGGCATAAGTTGCTCGCCGCTTTCACGGGAGGGAGCCAGTGAAGCGATGGTACTGGTGAAGGATTGCTCGAGATTGAAGGCTGAATCCATGGTCTCGTTGACCTTGTTCTCAGCAGCTACTGCGTACTTGTACAGAGCCAGGCGACCTCTGCCGATATGGACGGCCAGCCGCTCAGTAGGAGTAGGCGAGTGATGCCTTTCCTCTTCGTCGACCGGCTCAACGGGCGTCGCAGCAACGGGTGGCGGTGTTACAGGTGCGGGATTTGCTGTCGGGATATCGTAATCGTCGTAGATGGGTTTTCGCTATAGGGCTATTAGGGAATATTATTAAAGTCCATTGATGCTCCATGACAAACCTTGAAGTCGCTGGGACCTTCGGCGAAAACAGTAGCCGGAGCCAGTGCCATGCCGCCGAGGGCCATGGCCGCCAGTGGTGCCAGGGAGCGCTATACAGAACAATTAGCAAGAAGGAGCTTATACAGAGCTAGGAAGTATTACTGACCCGCGAGAACACCACTCGTGAAGCCATTGTGCGCTCAATTGACGAGTGAGTGGGTGAGAAAGACGTCACGCGAATTCAAGATGAGCGTCGGATGCTCGTGAGCACAAATCACCACTGTCGGAAAATCTAGGACGGGGCTCCATTGGACCACTCAGAGTTCAGCTTGGGGACGTTGACTGGATGACTAAGATTTCCAATCCCAGTGCAGGAACCTAAAGGCACAAATCAACCTAGGTACCTACGTTACCTTAGGTACCTAGGCTGCTAACTGTCGGCGGAAATGCCCTGCTAAAACAAGGAAGGTGACAAGGGACGGATCCGAAGCCGGAAAGCCCGACAAGGCAGGAAAGTCGCTTCTGAAAGTCTTCCCCGATATCTCTGATTCTCGATTCAAAGTAGGTAAAGAATATTAAGCATACCTGAGATTTAATATCCCAGCCGTGTTTTCATTCCAACTTCTGGTACTCTTCCCCGCCATTGAGAGAGAATACAGGATCACCGTATCACTTCGATTGCTGTTGGATCATTCATGGGTTCGATCCTCTTATCTGCATATTTATAATGCTGAGTTCGAGGGGCAACCGCCTCTGGATCTGTAATAGATGTGTTCGACGCACGAGCAGCCCTCCACAACGGCGATGGAACTCTATTGCCTCCGCGGTAGCCCAGGCTATCTCCCCAAGCACACCGGTCGATCATACCGCGAGCACGAATCACGATGATACTGTTTTACGCAACTTATTCGACGCCCCCACGGGCAGAACTTTCCCCAAGTTCAGCTTGAAGAAGAGCCAAGGTCTCTTCAAGAATCGATACCTCACCAGCCCTGATGGCTTCCAACATTTCGCTCAGAAGAACCTCGAACGGGCAAAAAATATCGTTAATAAAGTCCTCAGTGCATCCTCTGTACATGAATACCGTGCGGTGGTCCGCGACCTTGATCGGCTTAGCGACCTATTATGCCGTGTACTGGACCTCGCAGATTTCGTTCGTATGACGCATCCAGATGACCGGTTCCAGGAAGCGGCTGCCAACGCATGGGGTATGGTATATCAGTACATGAACCAGCTTAATACCATGACTGGCCTCAGTGATCAGTTAAGTCAGGCGCTATCTATCCCCGAAGTTACAAAAGTATGGTCAGAAGAAGAGAGAACTGTGGCTTTACAGCTCAAGTTGGATTTTATGAAATCTGCTGTAAATTTGCCAAAGGCTTCACGAGACAGATTCGTGGATTTGTCCTCGCGTATCAGCGAAATAGGGTCAGCTTTTGCACAGGGAATGCAGCCAGCAAGAAAACAAATTACCCTTCCGGCTTATAAGTTCTATGGCCTCTACCCAGGCATCGCAGCCACGCTCAAAGTACGCCAGAACATCACGCTACCCACTTTGAGCTCAGACGCAATTGGAGCACTTCAAAGTGTGCATGACGAGGAGACTCGCAAAGAAATCTACCTGGCCCAACGAACCGCTTCTCGGGAGACTGTTATGTACCTCGAGGCAATGTTGAAGTTGAGAGGTGAGCTCGCAGAGCTTGCAGGTTTCGAAAGTTATGGTC